GTTTTTTAAGTAGTTGCACAAAGTGTTGTTCCAATAGTCTTGTCTGATAGAAATATTTTCCACTTGCTTTCAGCTAGTATTGGTTTTTTATGGAAGTGTTAATTGTATGTATGTGTCGCGTGCGAATCTGCACTAGAACGCACCAGTACTGAGTGAGCAAATAAGACGTCAAAACAATACGTAACGTTGTGAAGGTATTGTTGTCAAAGGCAGTTGATGTTGACAGTCCGAAGTAGACGGACGTGTGGATCCTTGAAGACGCTTTACCCCGGGATCCCACGGAAGTAAACGTTATATACAGTTGGATCCTTGAGGACGTTTTACCCCGGGAATCCAATATAGACCTCAGCAGAAAGCTGGTATATTGACACAGTTCGGCAGTAAGCCAGTATACCTTCATTACTTAATTCAGACTGCGGAACCGAAGACAAAGATTACTGTCTGGATCTCAACAAGGTCGGACTGCGACATATCGTGAGGACATAGCAGTCCATGGATGTACGAGCGGCTTTTGTTGATGTGCTTGATTATTAATTGCATATTTTATCCTTGTGTTGATCATTGCCAATTGTCAATACACAAATGGAACTTTAAAGAGAGTGCTCCTTCCGCTACGTTTGGAAGCTTCAGCATTCATCATGTTGTGTTTCTCTTGGCCAGTGGCATGTTAAGTGTTGATGCCATTTGTTACATTGCGACGCCCCTAGTCACTTTGGTACGCCGCACATCACCACGCAGCCTTTACAGCACATCACAATGAAGCATACGCACGTCACACTGTAGGTCCAAGCTGTCGCTCATCACAATAAAGCTTATGCACGTCACAATGGGTCGCAGTCTGACCTTGAGTTCCAGACAGTAATCTTTGTCTTTGGTTCCGCAGTCTGAATTAAGTAATGAAAGTATACCGGCTTACTGCCGAACTGTGTCACACTGTAGGTCCAAGCTGTCGCTCGTCACAATAAAGCTTATGCACGTCACAGTATGTGCATCTTTGATAGTGTCTGATAGTGTCCAGGTTTGGCTTGACACTGGAAGTATAGTGCTAGTTTCTTCTGCTTCTTTTTGTTCTTCCTTCCAGTGGTTCTCAGATGAGAAGACCACAGCTGTCTGTAAGGCTGTGGTGCGATACATGTATTCTACTGATTCATACATTTTGGTTTCAGCTGGAATGCTAAATGGCCAAGCCTGGGATCTACCTGCTGCATGTAGAAAGTATGTCTGCAAACACATGTTTAGTATTTTGTGGTGCGTGTCCACATGACGTTGATATGAAAGGGTACTTGTATTGAAAGTTTGAAATAAATGCACTACTTCTAGTTGCAACAGTTGGTTAAATGTGAGACAGTTATCTGGTATCTAAAGAGATCATTACTAATTTAGCAGTCAAACCCCATGGAGATATCAAGAACACCATTGAATCTTTCAAAGTTGAGTAACATCGGGTAGATGGATAAGATAAAACACAGTGTAAATTTAATTTCTCGTATGAAGAGTTGGTTTGCCCACTTAGAGAGAATGCCTTTGCGACTCAAGGCCATACAGAAAAAAAGGTAGATCAAAAACAAGATTGAAAGATAACATCAGAGAAACTCTACAACAGCATATGTCTATGGTCGAATCTGCCAGAATAGCCAGAAGCAGAATCTTATGTCTCCCTTGACACCCAAAGAAGTATAAGAAGGGAAGATGTGAAGAGTTGAAATGTTATCTAAAATCCTGTTCCAGAAGAACTGTTGATCATGTTGCTAGACATTGGAAGACGGCCTGATGTACCAAGACCACTCTCCAGACAAGCCTTTAGCTACATGTATCTAATTACAAAGGTAAGGTGATAGATGGATGCTTTAAGTTATCAATGCATATAATTTTTTGCTGAGTCAGTATGCTGGAAGAAAGGAAATTTCACTATTTTCTGTATCTGTCTCTCATCTCCACTCATCTCTCCCTTCTCTCCCCCCTGATGTGGGTGTGTTGTGTTCAACTATTTCTCTCAGTGTACCTGAATGTTTTTTTATTTCCACCGCATTAGTTTCTAACACGTTATTATATTATTCATTATTATATTATCCAGTATCATACATTATTATTATCCCTTTCTTACCCATTATTTAAACAGTATGCATTATGAAGAAGTTGTGTACTTGAGTATAGTTTTCCATATTGCTTATTTGTAAACTATAACAAAGGAAATCTATGTTTATAAAAATTTTGTTGAGAAACTGTGCTTTGATTGGGTATAAAAGGCAGAAGAATAGTAATAAGTTACAAGTGTACGCAATTAAACACACAGATAAATGTTTCTATAAGCACAACTAAAGACTTAAGAAAGCTAGATTGTATTTCTACACAAATCACATTGAAAATGTGAAGGAAAAGGCAGTAAATCTGCATGGAATAATAAACACCTACAATGAGTCAGCTATTCATGTTACATTTTATATTATATAACTTTTACCCACCTTGTCAATATCTTATATACGGTAGGCATGGTGTTTGGGGTGAAAGAGTTTGGAAGATACCTTTCTCATCGTGGCAGGAGTGTGTGCAACAGAATAATTACTTTCCTATGTTACACACAATTGATTTAGTCTTAATTTTCTGACTCCTTTCACACGATCATGGTCACTGTCTCATATTCACAAAGTCATCCCTTAGGTTTGTAAAAAAAAATTTATCAGCCAAAATTATCTAATGTTTACGGACGTGATCGTGTGTAGGGAAGTCTATCTGTGTAGATTCTCTTTTACATCTCAAATCACCACAAGTCTATCTGGATGTTCTCTTCACAGTGCACATCCATTTGATACATATGGCTTATTTGTTTGCAGACTATCGGTTCCTAAATTCTCAGATGGATGCGCTCCTGTTTTAAAGTTAACACTCCTGATAAGTCACCTTGCAACATGCCTAGTAGTGGGCAATAAGTCAGCTTATTACTGTCCCCAGAACCCACACTAGAAACTTCTGTTCATTAGAAGCGCTGGTCTTAATGTTTTCATGTGTTTTTTTGCACCCCAGGCAGCTAGATTTTGTATCAAAATCTTCTTGACCTGCCGTCTCCTATTCTCTTGTGTACCAAGCCGTGTAGTATGTTTTTGGAATGTCTAGAAGATAATTTTTACATGTCCGTGCATTTTGTGTCTTTGGCTGTCAGATTTTCAATAATGTGGTAAATTTATTTTAGATGCGGGGCTTTAAACATGTGGTTAGACTTCTTCCCCACGAGGTCTCGGATATGGAGCCCGTGCTTTCCCTCATTGAAGCTCAAGATCCATTGGATTATGAGGTATGAAGAGATACAAAGGTATCTAGAGCCTTTATTATGTAACTATGCCTTCTCAACTTGCATTCCCTAACAGCATTATGAGTTTTTTTTGCTGATACCCTTCCATGCAATGACAAAAGGTGGTCACAAATCTTCTCATGATGTCTTTCTCCATCTCAAATTCTAAAAATCTTTGCAGTCATACCAACAAGTTTCTTTTTTGTCACAATTTGGCCTGAAAAGGATGACTCTTCCTTTCTGATGTATGTGATAAGTTGTCCTTGAGTCTTTGAATTATTTCATATTCTGATATAAATATGATTTTGTGTGTTTTAATTAGATACATGTAACAGTTACTTATAATCTGGATCTATGATTAGATGGAAGATTTATAGGAAGTGTTTGTAGGGGAAAGGACAATGAAGTTTATGCTCACCATCTTCGGGAGAGATTTGCTTAATAGGTACTTTGGTAGTGCAATGGCTAGCACCTTGCCTGCTCATCCGACGGTCGTGTGTTTAAAGCTCCACTACCGATAAGGGTCCTGGGGTCCCATTTTTAGGGAAAATAAGAATAGACAAACTGCTCCTTAACTCTACCAGACCGATGTCCCACTATTATGGGAATTTCCTAATCTGCCGCTAAACCGGTGTCCCTCAATGTCGGTACTTTGCTTACTATGTGAAAACAGTGTGTCACAAACTAAAAATAACTAGCCAGTCTTGGTCAGACTCGTGGTTAGTCATTGCGAATTGCTGCCCACTTGTGTCTGGGTTTACTTTGTGTATTGTGACGTGAAAAAATTCTGAAAATTCACAATAAAACGAGCGGCTGATAAACCAGGCACTTCGACAGGAAAGTGAAGTAGGTCTAGGCTTTTCACAGTCCAACAGGTGATCGATACTTTGGTTGATTTAGACTCTGAGGAGTCAGAATTTCGTGAAGAATATGTTCCTAGTTGAAATGATACAGTCAGTGTGAGCTCAAGTGATGAGGAGAATCTTGAAAATTATAGATTTAAAACTAGATCGATAGTAAGAGAAGGGGGCGTGTCCCTCAAACAGCAACATCTGGTGCTCACTTTGTGAAACAAGGCCGATCTATCTGGGTGGAATTGCACATAAAGGTGGAATATTGGCGCTAGTTGAAAGGTAAACCTATTTCTCAGTGTCTCCAAGTTTCAACTTATTCTAACCACTTGTTTGCAATGTAACTAATATTTTTGTATATCATGTTAGTTTTTTCATGTTGATGCCAAGGAGCTCAGGTATAGGGGGCAGTTAGGTTCAGCGCCTCAGGTCTGGTAGAGTTAACAAGCATGTCATAGGCAACGAATAATAGATTTGCTGAAATACTTGAGTTTCAACTTAATTTAATCAAAGATATAAATCTTACATCTGTAATACTGCACACCTTCATGTCAAGTAGAGATGTTCACAGTTTTTTTTGTCAATATAGATATGATCAGTTAGATTTTTGGTATTGTGTTCTTGTAATACCTAAATTTACCTAAATTACTTTATCCTGTGACATATTCATGCACTGTACAAAAATATATTAAATAATTAAAAAAACACAAATTTCAATCATTATCCAGAGTCTATGTTTTTTATTTGTATCAGTCGATACAATTCATTAAGAAAAACCTAGTATATACAAAGCCTCCACATGACACCCTTGTAGAATCACAGCTCCTTTTCTAATTATTTTAAATCTGACAATTTATTTGCAGATGTGGGAAACACGATACATTCTGCTGGTTTGGCTGTCAATTGTTTGTCTAATTCCTTTTGACCTGAAGCGGCTGGATAGCAACTTACGACAAGGAGATGGACATTTCAAGGCTAGAATCATGGACAGGATCATGGCCGTCTGCAAGGTAAGGTCACCACCTCCATCATCCACTATCTCATCACTCAGTTTATCACTCAGCACATGTGTTTATTTCCTCCCTGGTTTGTTTAAATGTAACCCTTGTGGGTTTCGGGGTCCCATTGGAGTAAAGGGTGTGGGGGGGGGGGGGGTAGGCATACTGCCTCCTAGCAATCATGTTGTAAAAGGTGGCTAATCAAGGATTTGCTGAAATTGGATGTGTTGAGCTAAAAGGTCCAGATATCACAGCCTAGCTGTAAACCATGATGCAGTGTACCAGCCATCCTTTTCAGAGCAAACTTCAGAAGAAGTAGATGAAGTTGTGCATTCGAGCTTATGTATGACATGTAAGAAACAGATTACAAACAAAACATTCATACCAACACTAGGCTACCAATGCCAAACATGCACATTATCAAAGGCTCACCTATGTACAGTTAAGGTCTTTGAGATGAAATGCTTGAGGTAAACTGGCAGCAACTTCAGAGACTGAAAAGTGATTCTGTCAGATTTTTAAAAAAACACCTTACACCAGATTTATTATGAAGCAGAAGATCAAATGATTTAGTAATTTAATCATTGCAGCCTCAGCAACTACCAACACATGTGAGGTAGGAGGAAGGGAGTTAGAGATCTCAGCATGTTTGAGTAAAGGTGATAGTGAATAAGTCACAGTGTTCACCTGTTAGCATCTTTCAAGTCTTCTATCCTCTGTAAAAATGCTGCCTAGATATGTAAAAATAAATAACACTAGCAAAATTTATTGTGCTCTATTCTCCATTTGACAATTAAATTTATACGACTGATTTTATAAAGCGCCCCCCACACCCCCCCCCCCCCCCCCCCCCCCCCCCCCCCCAATATCATCCATGAAACAAAGCATGGTATTCAAACAGACACCATTCATTTATGATTTGGTCAAATTTCTTCATCACCTGGTCAGCAGATAATAAGTAACCAATAGTGGTATTGAAACAGTTGAATCAATGTGATAAGTTAATGGTGATCAGTATCTCGCGCACAGATTTTCAGACGGTATTCAGAATGGTGGAAATTATTAAAGATGAAGCTAGGCAATGGAGTCTAAATTTTGTTTGTGATGATTAAATCATTGGCAGAGCCAGACAACAGATACACAAGGAACAGTGTCTAACTTTGAGACAGATGGTAGATGAATCTGAAGAAGAAGATATACTTGTTGAACAATTTTGTTTGTCTTATCCTCAGACCTACCTGCTGGTACCAGACAAGAGCAGGGATGCAACAGCTTATCTAACATCCAAGTTTCTCATCAGACATGATGTAAAACAGGAACTCCTACCCCAGGCCTTGGAGTGGATGTTGCAGGTTCTGAAAGATGCAGATTGTAAGTCATTTTTTCTTCTCCAGCTATTCTACACGGGAGCTGATGTGGTTTAACATCTGGACGCTCGACTTCAGATCCAAAGGTCACAGGTTCCTGTCTAAACGGATCCGGACTTTTAAAAAAAATGACCTTGGTTCCCAAGTTGACTCAGCCTTGAGTGGGTACCAGGTAAATTCCTGGGAAGTAAAGGTAGCTGGCTTGATGTTGACCACATCATCCACCAAGTGTCGATTATTCTATAAAATATAGGTCTCACACTATATGCCCAATATGCCTGAAGGTGTGGTAAAGGGTCCTTTACTTTTCTTTACATGTTTGTATTACTTCATTTCTTCTGCAGCCTTTTTAAAAAATGTGTATTTCTGTCTTTTGTAGGTGTTTATATCTTTGTAGAGAACTTTAATAAAATTCACATCCTGTGTGAAATGTAAAGAAATAATAAATTATGGCTCATGTGTTAGTTAGCTCTTTGACTTAGAGATTAGTGAAAGGGTTTTACAGTGCAAACCTTGACATCTACAAGGGTTAATTTCCCAGTGCTTTTAGATAGTGGTATCCGAGTCGCACCGTGGAAGGGATTGGTGTTTCACAGCATAATATTCCAATAGTCATCGGTGGATACAGTGCAGTTGACCTCTCTTGTGGAGACAGCACAGATTTTATTGTTGTGTTAATTGGAATAGAATAATGGACATGTTAAAGTAGATTGGATGCATCATTCCAGCTTGATAGTCCTAACTCTTTCAGTACCAAGCAATTCATCATATGTTTATTTAAATTGATGTGCTTTTTGGAGGGTCTTGTGGCCTATCCGCTCATAGCTTTAATCGATTCTATTCCTTGTATAAAGGAAATAGTGTACCTGTTAACTATATGCAGCACAGTTTATTAAATGTTATGTTCTGTTGATTGCATGCAACATTAAAAAAGTATTGTTTGTCTGACAAATTATTTATACCTCAAAACCACAGATACAACAGGCATTGGCTGCACTCATATGTGTGGTGTTTTGGCAGCCCTAGCTTTGTTGTTCAAGCATGGCAAGAGAGAAGACTTACTGCAGTATGGTAAGGTAATGTTTGCTGGGGACAGCCAACTTTAAATTATGTTGTCTAGTGTGTTCTTCTATCTTTCTATGAGTGCCGATCAATATTCTTTCTGTTACTTGATTAATTCATAATACTTAACGGCCTCAAAGGTACCCCCTCTGTTTATTTATAGGAATGGCTTTAAATTTATATAGAGACACACTACCCATTTACATTTACCCCAGAATACCTGTAAGGTCAAGAAAACTTACTTTAAAGTGTTAATTTTTTGGGTTGTGAAGATAGCAATGTTCTGAACCAGCCATTTGATGGTAACAACACACAATCTGTGCATATTTATTTTACTATTAAAATAATGTTACTAAATACAATAACTGAAACTGCATGCACCATTGTCTTTTGGAAAGATATAAAGCCGAACGAAAAGTATATAAGCGAGCGTCACAATATAACATACACAAACAAAACGTGAACTTTGCGGCTATGGAGCCTTCATCAGCACATATATAGATTAGACATCATCATCATCATGTAGCAGGTTCTTTGCAGAACGACACTCTCATCACAGTCTGCCTGAAAGAAACTCAGTCTCTCCCCAGTTCTCCCACCTCATGCACTTTCACACTCAAGGAGTCACTTATATCCTGTGCCCATCTTCGTGTCAGTTGGCCCCTGCCTCTTCTTCCTGGTACCATGCCTTCTGCTATAATTTTTTCCAATCCGTCGTGGCGCTTGATATGACCAAAATATTTCAGCTTTCGAGAAAGGATACTGTTTATTAGCCAATCTTTCTTGATGTTCAGATCTTTTAAGATGTCAATATTCCTCATCTTCGTTGTCCAAGATATTCTGAGAATCTTTCTATAGCATTTCAGCTCAAAAGCCCCTATTCTCTTTCTAAAGGACTGAGAGATAGTCCACGACTCACGAATGTAGCCACACGGATGATTCATGCTTTCAAAATTCTAATTGTTATCTCCTTGCTGGTGCTTAACCATAGACTTTTAAGGCTGTTTAATCTTTGCATTGCTATGGCCATCCTCCTTTTAATTTCTGTCGAACAGTCTCCATTGTTGTTTATTATAGAGCCTAGATATTCAAAGTTTGTGACATTTTCAATTTCTTCATCATTTTTGTTATTTTTGGGTGACAGCCAGTTTTATCTGTGGACATTATTTTCGTTTTCTTTAAATTCAAGGACAGATTTTGTCTTAACTGTGCTTTTAGACAGACAATATAAAATTTTCTATTCCCTTTACGCTGTTCGAAAGGAGGATTGTGTCATCTGCGTAGCCGAGTTCCGGAAAAATTAGACAATACTGCACAAATACATAATATCACTTATCTTCGTATCTCGTGGCAGCCAGGTTGATGTCAAGATAATTGTCTGGTGAGGCATGTGGGGCCGGGAAAATTTATATCCTGGGATATGCCAGGGGGCGTCACTCGAGGGTAAGAGGAAACTGTGTAGGCAGTTCAGCCCCCTAGGATTTAGATAAAGCGGTATAGGCAGTTTAGTCCACTAGGTGCCAGAGTTCCATAGGTGTACATAAAGTGATTTTCCATTGTCTTTTGTCATTGTGTGCGCTGCGCTGCTAGACTTTGCAGTTTAACTTATAGTAGGTATTGAGGTATTCAGGGAGCATTCTGTTGCTTGGTATCTTGAATGTTGTGAAGTCGTAGGCTGTTAGTGACTGCTTCAGTCCATCTTATTCTAGATCTCTCTCTCTGCCTCTTGATGTTTCATTTTCATGCTGCACGCTGTCACTGCCAGCATTGTCAGATTAATTATGTATTAGTCAAAAATGACTGACAATTTTTCTGAGATTACATGTAGAACATTTTTTGTTGAAAGTGTCATTGTAAAGAGCATACACATTGATAGATTCTGCTGGAGAAGCATAAGTGTCCTCCCAGTCTTTTTAAGCATTTGATAATAATGATGAATAGCATTGTAAATGACTAGGCCAGATTTCCTAATACAGAAGAACAGGATAAAGAAATGTCTTTATTAATAGAAAACAGTTGAAGTTGATTTATTTCTTCACTGGGAGGCATTGTAGCTTAGTGGCTAGACACTGTTCTGCCAGCCGGAAGGTCTAGGGTTCAAATCTGCACTGCAGCGGATTTTTTTCTTTAAAATTGACTTTGGCGACTAGGTCAAACCAGTCAAACATGGGTACCAGAAAATGTCCTGGGACGTAAAGACAGCTGGCGTGATACTGGCCACAACACTTACCAAGTGCTGATTGTTGTATAAAATATAGGTCTAGCCCTATATGCTCTGAAGCTATGAAAAAAGGTTACTGTACTTTACTTTTACTATATACCCTGTGTATCAAACGCGAAAAGAGTCCCTTACTTTGGCTTACTTTGCGGAAGATTACAAAATACTTTTTTCTTACATTTGAACTGTATGTCACAGAATAAGCTTGCCATGTTTAAAGACGTTTGATTTTTTTTTTCTGTCACCAAGCTCCGGTTGTCTTAAGGGTCACCTTGGATGCCAAGTTGGAAGAGTGTGATAGCTGTGTAATTCGGAAATTGGTGGGCAAACTGATTCAGCGTTTGGGTCTTACTTTTCTCAAATTCAGAGTTGCAGCTTGGAGGTAAGTTTAAATGAATTTTTGTTGGTGGGTTGTGTCATTGATTTATATTAATAAATGTTTAAGTTTAGAGAACTGTTTCCCAAACTTGTCTTGGTCGTGGCGCCTTTTTTCAGTTAAAATTGTTCCACGGCGCCCTAACTTAAGTAAAAGTATGGCTATTCATGTCTTGAAGTAAAGGTTCCTTTTCCATGCATTTAGGCATATAGGGCTAGACCTATATTTTTTTGGACCAATCAGCACAACATGGGTGATGTGGTCATAATCACGCCAGCCGCCTTTACTTCCTAGGACTGCACCCGGTACTCACTTAAGGCTGGGTCGGCCTGGGAGTCTTAAAAAAATCCAGCTGTGCCAGGGAGCAAACCCACGACCTTCCTATCTGCATGCAAGCGTATAGCCTTCGTGTCTTGGTTAAATGAAGCTTTTACAATATTTCTCGGTGCCCCTGTGAAAAGGCTGTGGCTTCCCGGGGTGCTGCGGCACACAGTTTTGGAATCACTGGTTTAGAGGATAAAGCAAAAGTACAAGGCCGTGGCTCCCGGGATGTGCTGTGGCACACAGTTTGGGAATCACTGGTTTAGAGGAAAAAGCAGAAGTACGACAACATAAAAATGGAAAGCTATAGTTACCACTCTGCATATTTCAAATATGGTAACTATAACATTTTATTGTTATGTTACCTAGTGTGTACTTCTTTTTTCTACATAAATGAGTGCCACTAAATACACACATTTGCTTTTCAAGCTGTTTTATTGGCCTCAGTGGTTCCTCCGTGGTTCATTTCTGTTTTATGTTGATATGTTATTTTAATAATGTCTTTTTTCGTTATTTTTTTTGGGTTAAATTAGATACCAGAGAGGTAGTCGGTCACTTGTAGTCAATCTAGGAGCTGGTGCGGCATCTGTAACATTGGGAGCTGGAAGCAATACTATACAAGCAGTAGACGAAGATGATGAGATTGAAGTTCCTGACGAGATTGAGGAAATAATTGGTCAGTTATGAGCATTTATACCAAGTTTATGCTTGCAATATTTTATGCAGTTTTTAGTTTAAATTTAGTGTTCCACCATAGGATTAAGCTTACTCTTTGTTCAGTTTTACATTGATATGTTTATTGACTGTGTGTTACCAGGACTTATAAGGGAAGAAAGACTTCCTTTCCATTATCATGGCTAAGCAGGTTGACGTTCTAAAATGTTATTTATTTCTAGCCACTGGTGCATTTTTTTTCCATTTGTTGATTGGGAGTCTAAAGGTTTGCATTGCCCAGCTACTGAGTTGAGTTCTTGCTGCAAAACTGCGAGCTGTGAATTTCATGTGGAATGTGTTTTCTTTTGTGCCTGCGACAGTTTTGTGTTGCGAACTGCACTAAAAATGTCAGATGGCTGATTACATTTAGAATGACTTGTATTTATGCAGTTCCCTCGAAGTCGGAGTACATTTGCCAGTGAGGCAGGGAACGGCAAACAAATAAGCCAGTAAAACAGATGTACACACAAAACTCAGGTCCAGGTAAAAGCCAAAAGTCTTTATGGATGAACTATCGGGACCTTCCGCTGGATTTCACAGCTGGTAAATGAGAAGAAGAGAAGAAGATTTATGCAGTATTATATGTGAAGATGCCGGCATTTGTTATTGGCTGCTTGCTGTGACAGTGAGCAGAAATTCTGGTGGGAGACTGTTAGTGTTCACATATCTGATAGCTACCTTATGTATTTAGTTTGCAAGTGCAAGCTTCAAGATTTTGCTGGGACTGTTACGTTTGTCACAAATTTTTTAAACTGGGACAGTGAGGAAAGTTTTTGTGTGATTTCCACTGGCACAGGAACGGAGCAGTTATGGGGTGTGCAATAAAGCTGAAACCCTGACTAGTGATGAATAATAAGGGAGGTAAAGCATAATAACACTAGCATACCATGCATGTTGTGAGGGAGGCTAAGGAAGGTTGGTGGAAAACTGGCTGCCTCATTCTACAGTTAACTTTAGCTGCAAAATAGCTAAGTTTTAGTTGGTTGAGGCTATATGCTTCTTTGAGAGGTGGAAGACTGAAAGAAAAGTTATCTGCTGTAGTCAACAAATTGTCTTACCTGAAAAACCACATATGAATGATATATGAAAATATAAGTAGGAGAAAAAAGCAGCTCTTCTGTGTGCTGTATTTTCTTTGCTGTATAATTTTTGAGGCTGATCAGCTTTGTAGTTAAAGTTCTGCATTTCAGAAACTAATTACTAACATATTTTCATTTGAAATTCCAGAACATATGCTGGTTTACCTCAAAGATAAAGAAACAATTGTAAGGTGGACTTCTGCCAAAGGGTATGAAAGCACATTTATTCTTTTTAAGATGCACACATATAGGCTGATTTATTTATTAAATGTACCTATGTTGGTGTTATGTAGTTAGGCTGCTACATTTGGTAACTGAATGGCACATGAAGAGTGTTACAGTCAGTAAAACATTGGCAGAGAAATCATTGGTAATTATTTTTTGAGGCTAGGTCAACATCAGAATCAAGTTGAAAGTAAAGGACTCTTTTTTTACTCCGGTGAGGCATTGAATGTGGTGCTAGAATCACAGTTTTATAGACAGTTGGCTCTTGCTGGGTGATGTGGTCAACCTCATTCTAGCCGCCTTTACTTCTCAAGATATTACCTGGTACCTTTGAAGACTGGGGTGACTTGGGAGTCAAGGTCTATTTAAAAAAAAAAAATTCATCTTGGTGCAGATTGACTGACTGACTATCACGATTGCACTTTATGCTGAAGTTTATGCCTGGCTACCACAATCGCACCGCCTGCGATCGTAACTTTGAATGCTTGCCGCCATGTTGAAATTGTGACTTCTGCAATAAATGTAGTTAAAGCCATTAGTCCAGGGCAATCTACTAAGTTAACTCAGGGGCCAGACTTGTGAAAACTGCTATCTTCACAGGCTAGAAGCCTGAACCTGAACATAGACAGATCATTAATACAATACAGCCAGCAATGATCCGCGGCCCACTTACTAGGCCTTCAGGAGCCAGATTTGGCCACTGGGCTGCCAGTTGAATAACCCTGCATTAGTCCATTCATTTCTCTGTGATTATTTAAGGGACTAAATTCAGCAGTGCTTAAAGTAAACTTTCATGAATTTTTTTTGGTGAACGGCCTTGTCGATTACACATTAGGCGCATGTTTTCAAAATAAGACTGATCTTTAGGGCTGGCATGGTGGAACAGTTTGGAGAATATTTATGATGCAGTGGGATACTGTATTGATGTTTTAAATCAGAAAGTGAAGGTGAAGATATTTCTGAACGGTTTGATGACTGTGACTTTAATAATTCTTACAAACTGCTGTCAAAACTGGAAGACAATGTTTAGCTTACATTTCACAATGCAATCCTTTGTCTTTATAAGGGTGCCATTCCCGCGATACACGTTTGGGGAAAAGATCGTTTTTGTTGCTTTTTAGAATATTTGTTGGTTACCTGTTTTGGCATCAATCTGCAGCCACATTATGATGGTATACAAAAAGATTACACAATTTTTGTTTATTCCTGGAGATTGTTCTCCACTCTGTTTGGTGCAAAATGCAACATATTATGAATTTATATTAAATAGTTGTGAAACTATGGACCAATTTTTATATTTCCCTCCCCAAAAAAAGGAAATCTCAAATTATGTAACAACTATCATACTATAGCTCTAATTAGTCATGCCAGCAAAATCCTTCTGCAGATCTTCTTGAGGAGAATCGAGAATGAATTGGAATATGAATTACAAAAGCACAAGCAGGTTTAAGGTGGGGCAAAGGAACAAGAGACCATATTTTCAGTATGAGAATCATCCTAGAGAAGTGTAGAGAATGCCAGATAGATCTTCATAATTATTTCATAGACTACAGCAATGCATTTAGCTGTTTGCAACACCCTAAACTGGCATATAATGAGAGGTAAAGAATTTCCAAAACATCTGGTGTACTTAGCGGAATCACTTTAGCATGAACAGCAAGCAGCAGTCAGAGTAGCTGGTGAAACATCAGAGTGGTTTGAATTGCAGAAAGGAGTGAGACAGGGCTGCATTCTTTCTCCATCCCTTTTTAACATGTATGCTAAAAATGCTATGAGAAACACAATTAGCAATGAAGCATGTGAGAGCTTTGATTCACTAATAATTGGAGGTAATACCATCCCATAACTCAGATATGCAGACAACACAGTTCTCCTTTCCAAAAGTGTACAAGGTTTAGAAAAAATAATTCTGGCCGTTGAAAAAGCACAGCCAAGTAGTGAATCTTTTTCTGAATTTGAAAAAAAAAAAAAAAAAATCATGTCCTCAGTAAATACAGCATACCAACCACATATCTCAATCGAAAATGAAGAAATAGAAAATGTCACAGATTTCAAATACTTGGGCTCTACTTGAAAGAAGTTAAAAGAATACTTGCATTAGCAATGCAGAGATTAAACAGCATAAAGAACCTATGGCAAAGAGTCTGTAAAATAGTTGAAGTGAAAATCTTGAGATTGTGAATTTTTCCTGCAGCAACTTGCGGATGTGAGTCCTGGATTCTCACTCAGTCACTGAAAAAAAAGATGGAGCTTTTGAATTAAAATGCTACATAAAAATTCTCAGAATACCATGAATCAAGCAGAGGAAAAACTTTGACATTTTACACGAGTTAAACACCCTGTCCCAGAAGTTGAAGTAATTTTGCAACATCAAGCGTCATGGTGGCTTGGAAAAGACAGTGATGGAGGGTGCAGTTTGTGGAAAGCGAGGCAGGGGTTTACCACCGCGAAGATGGATACAGGACATTGAAGATACATTGACATTAAAAGCACATGAGGCTGGAGAGATGGCTGGGGAAAGGGATACTTTCAGGCATGCAGTGGAGAGAGTGACATTCTGTAAAGGATTTGCTGATTGATGATGATGAAGCTATGACATTTTTTTAGTCTGTAGTTCTGTCAGAAAAAAAAAGATTTTTCGGTTCGCCTTTTTTGCACCAATGTACAGCCACATGATGATGTCAAACAAGATTATGCAGTTTTTATTCTTGAAAATTATTATCATTCATTTGGTGCAAAAATACTAAATATGAGTTTATTATGTCAAATAGTTGTGAAGCTATGGCATTTTTAGTGAAAACTAAAATATGTAGTATCTGGGCAAGTGCAAGAGTTAACAGGCTAGGTAGTCAGTAGGTTAAAACCTAAGGTAATGAAAGAAGAAGTGTTGTTGGTGTGTTTCTAAAGTAACTAGAGGAGAACACTTTTCTTTTTTCTCATAATAAATATATTTTCTTTTTGTTTGTTTTTTAGTATTGGGAGAGTAACCGGTCAGCTGCCCAGGGAGCTTGCTGATGACGTTGTGGGTTCGGTTCTGGAACTGTTCAGTTACCAGGAATCTGATGGTGCTTGGCATGGAGGTAAGAGCATTAAAAAAAATATTGATATCAGTTTGTTTTTTTTTTTAAATGTTGACATCAGTTTACATATTTTTAGCTGTAATTTGTTTCAGTTTAAACCTGTACCAAAGGAAGTTAAGAAATCACCAAAGACAGAATGAAAGTTAAATGTATTTGAAAACAAATGCTTAAGGAAATTGGTAAAGATTAAATAGGATGAATTCAAGAAAGGAAAAGAAACTAGAAAAATGTCTTGACAACCCTTTGTATCATAAGTTTTAATTTAAGACTTTTTTTTTCTTTTTTTTCAGGATGTTTAGCTTTAGCGGAACTTGGCCGTAGGGGATTACTGCTGCCAGAGCGATTAAAAGATGGTAAACATAACTTTGTCATTGATTGTTGTTATGATGTTTGTTATGATTAATTATTCCAGGTTTTGATGTTTCTTGCCCTTTCCAATGGTTATATAGGCAGTTCATGTATGGGTTCTGGGACCCCATTGGAGAGAGAGAGAGAGAGAGAGAGAGAGAGAGGGGGGGGGGGCGGGTATAGAGTAGACCCAATGCCCTCCAACAAACATGTTGTCAAAGTGAGTAATTAAGGGTTTTTCCTTTGAAGTCTGAGTGTGTCTGCTTGAGAAACGAGGAGCCAATAGCTCACGTACAAGTAAGCCAGATGTGTAAAATGGATGTGCACACCTGTCTCAAGTTTTGGTATGAGATTCAAGTCCAGAAAACAGACTAACAACCAGAATTTTCCACCGGAGCTTACAGCCGGTGAACGCAAAGAAAAACAGTTTGGTATTCCTTTAATTGTTTGTTTTATTTAAATTTTTAAATTTTTTTAGAATGCTACATAGAATTTTCAGTCATTGCATAACTGTTTTCATCTACATTTACAGTAAGGGCTGAACAGTGAGCAATCCTTCATAAGGTTATGAGATTTTTGTCTACCAGGGAAGAAAAAATCATAACCTGGACAGTATTGGTGATTGCACTAGCTATGTGGTCCTAAATCCCCAGGCTAAAAGATCCCCCACCCCCACGCCTAGACCACAAAAGTTGTAAATACATGCAGTAATGTCATTTATTAAGTGATAATAGATACATTGTCTAACAATGACAAAACTACGGCGTTTGTATACTTTCAGTGGTTCCTGTGATAGTGAAGGCTTTGTCTTATGATGAAAAGAGAGGCAATTTTTCTGTTGGAGCTCATGTCAGGGATGCAGCCTGCTATGTTTGCTGGGCGTTTGCCAGAGCATATGAGCCAAAGGAGATGGTTCCTTATGTAGACCAGATTGCAAGGTTGGTAATGTATAACATTTCAAGAGCTATTACAGGGCCCTATTTCATTAACAAGCATCAAGAGTCATTACAGGGCCCTATTTCATTAACAAGCATGTCACAGTAGGAGACTAATTAAGGCTTTTCTGACATCAGCTTTATTGGCCATAGAGGTGCAGATATCACAGCCTAACTGTAAACTACAACACAATATGCCAGCTGCTCTTTTAAGGGTGAATCCATTATATAACATAGCCCTTGACCCGTTAGGGTCGTGGGGGTGTATCAATGGAAGCACTAGTTCACAAAACCCACCATCTTTCTCAGAGTCCATTAGAAGAAGAAGAAGATTGCAAAATTATATATATTATGCACATGCACACGCCCGTAAGGACATCCTAGGTATGAATATGCGTGAAGTAAGGACACTTTTTAAAGATTAATATTTTCCATTCAGCTGTGATAAAGGCAACATTCTGCAAAGGGCTTGATTCTTGATAACACATCCTATACCATGTGCACAGGATTAATCCCTTACCACCCACCAACAGAAAGAGGGGGGGGGGGGGGGTTAGAGAAAAGCAAGACTGAGTAAGAGAGAAAAGGAAGACTGGTTGAGAGAGAGAAAGAAAATAGAGAAAAGGTACTGAGCGGGTAGGAGAGAGAATAGAGACAAAGTGAGACAGAAAGAAAAAAGAGAATTGAGAAAAAGAAGAAAGAGGATGGAGAAAAAGAACACAGTGAGAGAATGAGAGAATAGAGAAAAGGGACACCTTGTGAGAGAAAAGAGAACAGAGAAAAGGGAGACTGAGTGAGAAAGAGAGAGAATAGAGAAAAAGGAGACTTTATTAAGAAAGAGTCACACACACACATTGCATTCTGTGAAGTATGTACTGCTTAACTTGTTGTCTTTCTCAGTTGTTTTGATAACTTGTTGCATTCACAGTTGTTTGATCATTGCTTCTGTCTTTGATCGAGAAGTGAATGTGAGGAGAGCTGCAGCAGCAGCATTCCAGGAGAATGTTGGAAGACAGGTATATTTGTTTGTTTCATCTTTTTCTTCTGGCCTTTTTCACCCAATGGAGCCTATGCCATCAACCAACTCATGCCAAATCATCATGTCCTTTGCTGTCACATGCAGCTCACCCTGTGTCCTCCAGTATTTTTAAAGGCACTCTCTAGTTCCCTTCTCCATGTTGTCTGGTCTGCATTTATTTCTGTGCCCTTGTGGGTTTCATTGTAAAGACATTCTAGTTATATTCTTCTCAGGTTTTCTCAGCGTGTGTGTTATCCTCCACATCTGTTTTTCACATGTTGATTTACTGGAGTTTGTTTAGTTTTCTCCCGTAGCCCCACTTTTGTGATTCCATCATACCATTTAATTCCTCTCTGCATATGTGTTCAGATACATATTGAAATATTAATTAAATATTGTGAGAAAACTGAATTTGTCATCTACTTCTGCTTCTACCCTTTAGCTTTCTTTCAGTAAGTTTATGTTTATGTTGTTGTTGGTGACCACTCAGTCACATTTTCTTTTGCTTGCTGGCCTGGGAATCATGTTTTCGCATCTGAATTCATTCGGGCATTTGTTACAAATGGAACTGGAATTCCAGGTCGACCCATCCTGAAATTGGTGAAAGGAAATTTTCTGGGCAGCATAGACAGTCTATCAGATCATATCACCGAAAGAGTGTCGATATGGACCCAACATGTTTTTGGACTCCGCCACATTGTAGTATCATTGGTATTTATATGTTTCACTGTTACTGGTACCATTAGAATTGGAACTCTGCACTGACTGCTGAAGATGGGCACGGAGCGCTAATGGAAATGTTTGGAATGCTATGGTGACGGCCCTGAGCTCATAAGTTATATGTTTCAGCACATCTTTTTGGATATTGTTAGCATAGTGGATAGAACACTGGTTTACAAATACAGCTTCCCTGGTTGAATCATGCATTGAAGAGATTTGGGTGTGACTTGTACATTTGAAACTTGTCATTGCCTTTAAATTAGTAAGTACAAGTTATTAAGAGCCAGGGTGACATAGTGGCTAGACTCCCGTCTGCTGGCCTGAAGGTCTTGGGTTCAAATCTGCGTCAAGATCAGTTTTTTTAAAAATAGTCCAAGGAGGTAAAAGAGTCTGACATCATATGTCCGATGTGCCACAGACGTCAGAAGGGTCCTTTTACTTACTTTTTACTTAAGCACAAGGTATTATCATATCTATCTTTCTTTGTTCAAAAGAATCTAACTTTATTTCACTCTGACTGAATTGCTGAACTGATCTGTTTCATCAGACCACCACAAAGGTACGCATATTTAATTTGGATTTTTTTTTTTTTAAATTTGTTTTTTAAACAATTTTAAATTATTTTATGTATGCACAAATGTATTGTACCATGAAACCCATTCGTCCAGTAGCTAAGACTTTTTACTGTTGGACATAGCATTGTGAGGTAACCTTTATCCTTGCAGGGTACATTTCCACATGGCATTGATATTCTTACAACTGTTGATTATTTTGCTGTTGGGAATCGAGCTCGATGTTATCTTGAATTGAGGTAAAGTTGTAAATCTGCTTTGGCATAATGCTTTCTGTCTTTATTTCTGTGACAATGAACAGTCAGCTAGAAAATTGAATTAGGTCTCTAGAAAAGTGGATATACAGAAGAATCGGTCATATTTACAGGAGTGGTTTTTGATATTACATACATAGAACTGTGAACACTGCTGTATAAAACATAATAATTAACCTCATTTACATGCAAGTTGTTAATTTATTTTATTTATTTTGGTAATATTTAATAGTACTATTTATTATACATCCATTTTGTTTAATTATAATATATAACTTTTCCAATGACTTACAATTTTCATATTATGTTTTCTGTCTGTTCCTAGATTGTTTATGTCTAAAGTTATTCCTTCTAACTTTTAATGAAAGTAGGTGACTGACAAAATAATACAAATGTAGAGAATAAATAAAGTACAAATATCTACAGGGCGAATTGGTTAAACTTTTCTGCTGGTTCTTTGGAGGTTGTATGTTTAGTTTTAAGACATTTTTGAGTGCGTGTGTTTTGGAGATCCCTGAAGGTCAACACAGGATCTTGGAATTTCATGCTTTGTGTAATTTTCACAGCAGGCAAACAACCTTTCTACACAGAGAGAGACCAATTTATATGGGCTGAAACTTGGCACAATGAATTCGGGTCTTTTCACTTTTAAACCTTTGGAGGAAAACAATTTCGTATCATTGGTTGAAAAAAGTACCTTTCCCACAGGGAGGTTGGTCGCAAAGGTATCCACTGCCAGCAATAGAAGGAACACTACATGGTAGGCCCCAATCACTTCCACCCAGCAAATCTTGTGCCACTGCCCTTTAACTCTTTGGAGATGGAAACTTATTTGGAGTTTCAATGCCAAGAAGACGGATGTGCATACACAAAATTATAAAAATATAAAACTATGTATATTCTTGTAGGAAACTGAATGAACTTAAGTCTTTAGAAATCAAATTTAAATCTTAAGATTTATTCAAATTAGCTATTCTGAGTTGCATATTTCTGCATGCAATTTTTTGAAGCTTAGAAACAAACATGACTGACTTGAAAAATGTGGGTGCATTTTCTGGTGGATTAAGATAGAACAAGTCCTGACACTTGTGTTTTGGGAAACAAGGCCCATGGATACCCTTCAGACACCTCTGACACATGGTTCTACTCCTTTTCCTGCCTCCTGCTATTGTGCAGTTACGATAGATGCAACAGTCTTTTTCACTGTTGTTGGGGCACAAAGAAAGCACAGTAAAAAAAACATCCCAGAAAATCTACATAATACAACAAACTGTCATCATGGGCGCCATTGAAAGGCTCCGATGTGCAAGAAATGCGAGAAACAATCTGATTGGTTGGTATGAAGACCAGCCAGCCAATCTCAAAGCCTGTATTATTGGGCTATGGGATTGGCCCGTCATCTTTGTCACTATTCTGCTCTGCGGCTGATAGATCGACCCTGTCATCTCCAAAAGGTTAAAAATGAATGCAAAGAAGAAATGTAAGTAGTAAGTATATTCAAGTGTTATATGATGTTTAACCTTGACTTTTGCTGAAATTAAACAGAAAATATTATATGTTGAATATTTTCAGTGTCTTTGTTGCCAACTTTAAAGATTACACACACAGCGTGATTGACCATTTAGCAGATGTCAAGATTGCTCATTGGGACAGGTAGTACTCGCTGGATTTATCTTGGTTTTAATTTTAACTTTGTTATTCTTTCACTTACGGTGCTTACTGGTGCAAGGAAAAACACTCAATTTAAAACAAATGGAAGGAATCTCTTTGTTGGTTCTGAAGCATCAGTATTGCTTTTTCTCTAACCTGTGCTAGTATGCAAGTGGTTTTTACTGGCATTGCTGCATTGGCCAGTTTCTGACAAGCCTAGTTAATAGCATTGGTTCTGTTTGTGCATGCACCATGTTTAGGAGCACATTATATTATTGTATTGATTAGAAATATTATTGTTTGGACCTGGGTGTAACCAGAGGGTCTGGCCGGCTCACTACACTCGGAGGAAAGGCAAAGCGGACAAATAACCAGATTGTGACCGGTACCATCAGTATTGGAACTCTGCGTTGGCTGCTGAAAATGAGGACGGAGCAGACATGGGAATGCCTCGAGTGCTGTGATGTCAATTCTTGACTCAATTCAACTCAACTAGGATTGTTTGGTCAACAGAATTTTTTTTTTTTAAACCATGACCGTGTCATAATTCTCCCTTTGAATGTTAGAATGTAGTAGCTAGGGGCACGTAGTATGAGTCACTGTAAAAATAATTTTGTTAGGTACAAATGAATGCTAAAATTTAATGCTATACTCTGTTCATGTTTATCAGTTACTCCTCTTCATTTATTTTTTAATTTTATTTAATTGTATATGAATTCCACATAATGAGAAGAGAGACATTGGAGAACATCGTGACAACTGGAAAGATCAGTGGGAAAAGGAGTAGAAGCAGACCAAGAGAGATGATGCTAGATGGGCTGAAATAATGGCATGGAGGGATATCATCAAGAGAGCTGTTCCAGATCGTGATCTGTGGAGACACATGAGCGCCTACGCCAGTTGGCAGGGCATATGATGATGATGATGATGTATGTGAATAACTTGTTTGAAAATTTATTTGTGACCTTTTTTTAAAGGAGGTAAGGGAAGAAAGGGGTGGGGTGTTCCTGGGTTCTGAGCTTTTTTCTCCAAAAGGTTTCTGGGACAAGAGGGTTTAACTTCAGAATATATGCATTTTACGACTGTTTAATGTTTTTAATATGCTTGTCTGTTTGCTTTCTTATAGCACTGTAAGAGAATTGTCTGCTAAGGCTTTGCACCGATTAACACCTTGTGATCCAGAATACATGGCCAGTACAGGTAAAAGTAATTAATAATTGGCTTTTGTTGCATATTTTTTACTGATACTGCTGACTTTGATAGAACTAAACCGTTTTGAGTATATTATATTTGATTTTTTTTTTTAATATATATTTAAGAAAAAGTAGTTTGTACTGTAAAAGCTTTATTGGTAATTTTTTTAAGTCACATTTAAATTTTTTGATTTGTCTTCTCAATTAGCTACATTTTATGTGAAGAAAATGTAAGATATTAACAATATTTAAAGGATTCTCTTCCACAGCATTAGGCTTTTTGGGTATATATTCCTAGACAAACTACTGGATGTAAATTGTCTAGAGAAACCACACAACAGCCATGGGCTGTTAGGGTTGGTTCTGCAACGTCCTGTAAAGGATACGCAACTAACATTCCTAGACATGTATTTTATAGACCTTTCGTACTCGGCAGGAGTTGTCAGCAAAACGCTGGCCGGCTTCACTTCCCAGGACTTTACCTGAACACCCTATTTTAGAGAAGCAGATATCTCATAATTCATAATGATGAGAGCTGGAGGTTTTAGACAATAGTATATATCAGCTTTGTTTGTTATGTTTCTCTAAAATCTACAAACAGCCGTGTTGTGTATTAGTTAGTGCATTTGCTTACATGTATTTTATAGACCCTTCGTACTCGGCAGGAGTTGTCAGCAAGACGCGGGCCAGCTTCACTTCCCAGGACTTTACCTGAACACCCTATTTTAGAGAAGCAGATATCTCATAATTCATAATGATGAGAGCTGGAAGTTTTAGACAATAGTATATATCAGCTTTGTTTGTTGTTTTTCTCTAAAATCTACAAACAGCTGTGTTGTGTATTAGTTAGTGCATTTGCTTACATGTATTTTATAGACCCTTCGTACTCGGCAGGAGTTGTCAGCAAGACGCGGGCCAGCTTCACTTCCCAGGACTTTACCTGAACACCCTATTTTAGAGAAGCAGATATCTCATAATTCATAATGATGAGAGCTGGAAGTTTTAGACAATAGTATATATCAGCTTTGTTTGTTGTTTTTCTCTAAAATCTACAAACAGCTGTGTTGTGTATTAGTTAGTAAATTTGCTTACTAAAATGATAATTTGTATTATATGCCAGTGTGTGAGAGTGCTGCAATATTTTACCCACAAGAAAATCTAAATTATTCGTTATCATCATCATGAGCCCTGCCAACAAGCATAGGTGGTGATGTTTTGTAATCTTATATGATTGCCAAAGTCCCGGATCAGGTCTACCTGGGTCAACAAGAAGCCAAAATCATTTAAAAAAATTATTTATTTTTTGTCTATCAAATATTTCAGTTTTTATGAAAACTGAGTAAACACAACTATGCTCAGCTAGGAATACATGATAATATGAAGACATCAATAAAACTAACTGTATTGTTATCCTCTCCTATTCCCGGCATCTGTTGTGATCTTCTGATACGGAACGAATTGAAAAATTAATTTCCCCAGTGTTGCCCAAACTACTGCCATTGTCTGCTGGCTCTGACTTGTTCCTGCGACATGGTGCTATCCTGGGTATTGCAGAAATAATACATGCCCTCTACTCAATAGCTCAGTCAAAGGATATGTGAGTTGAATATTATTTTCTTGTTTGTTTCTTAGCCAATGCATAGTTATATTATTGGGAAAAAAAAGAGTTTCTGTTTATCATTAAAGTAAGTAAGCTTGAGGTCTGTGCTGCGAAGTGGTCAAACCGTTTGCCTCGTGCTCTGAAGGCTGTGGGTTGGTTTTATGGCTGCATTGCTTGGTTCACGTGTACAATTTTTACAAAGACCCCTGGGGATTGCTGCTGGAGTTATGATGTTTGTGCTTTATGTGATGCTATCTTTGGAGAGAGACTGAGCTATTTTGGATAAAACCCGATGCAGTGAGTCAATGCTCTTGACTTTAACCTTTATAATGATTGTAATAGAGTTGGCATCTTGATGAGTGAACCGACTGTTTGCACTGGCTTTGTGATAGAACACAGCATGCACTGGGAATACATAGGGCCACATCCTTGGACTGAGGCAGAGCTATGGAACGAAGCTCAGTTATGATGTCACTGGGGACGATAGAATGTCACAGGTCAGCCGACCACAAGTGGCCTGTTTTCATTCGATGGACAAGGGGAAACTGTTAGAGAAAATTAGACCTTGGTTGCCAACAGAACTTTGAATACAGAGATCAGTAGCAGACGTAAAAACATCAAGGTATGAAAAGTATTGTTTTGAGAATATAGGGATCTCTGAGCTCCAGGCTAATATATAGTCATTTATGTGCCTGTATATAGAGTATTTGCAGTTACAGAAAAAACCCTAAAAAACTGTTGAACGATTTTGTTGAAGTTTAAACCCCATGAAAACTGTAAGTTCCAGAGTGAAAAAAGAGAAGTATTGGCTCTTTTATTGTCTCAACATTAAGATTGTTGTTTGAATATTGAAGGAAATTGTAGTCTGTTGATCTTTAGCTATTTAAATGGCAGTATTGTGAAGTGCATTTGCTGAACACAAAAATTGCCAACCAATTTGAGCATTCTTGAGTTCAAATAACTGTTATGTTGGATAAAGTGACTTGAAACTGTAGAATGCAAGGGACTCTCATACATTCAGAAGCAAAGACAATCATCCCTTCCGGTACCTGTTACAGGAAAGATGAATTACCTGGGGGGGATTTTAAAATGCGGATGGCTGTCAGGCAGCTCTGCGAAATCAGTCAAAGACATTTTCTACAGCATGAGGCAAGTTGGTAAATAGTGCTTGCCCCAGATTTGTGTGGACCGATGGACACTCGATAGATGATGTTTTGATCCCATATTGATAGGTGTGTTTGTGAGACCAAAGAGATGCAAGTGGAGCCAACACAGTCCCTATCAAGACTATGCCTAGTCAGGGCAGTTAAATAGGGCCCACAACAACAAAACAGAAGCACATGGCAAGCCCTTCTAAGGACTAATCCTTATCACGATCACAACCCTTAGATATCAGATAGCAGGCATCACTGTCGACACAGAGGGAAGGATAAAATTTACGTAGAAGTGATTAGGATGAAACCCTGTTGAACACTCCAGTTGTAACCCTTTTCACTGACATGGCTGAGTTCTCAATTTAACACAGTGGACTGTAATTTGTGTTCTTCATTTGACTGAAATTAACTTTTGTCCATGTGAACAAGCATCCTAAAATACTGAACTTGTGCTGCAAACATGTTCTCTGCATGCATTAGGGAGAATCCAAGTCTGGCCAGTTGGCAGTCCATTGAAAACCAAGTTGTGTGGATCAGTCGAGGACTTGCAAGACTTTTTACCCCACCAGGACATCACACTATGCGATTAACAATAGGTGACACAAAGTGCCACCATTCAGATGAAGATCACCCATGGAGAGGTCCTGGAAACCCCGTTCAACCGCTAGGTTATTTTAGGGCCCCCGGCAACAACCAGGGTGGGGCTTCAAAATAACGAAAAATTCGTCCCACATTGGGACAGAGATTACGGTGAGTCGAGAACATGCATTGCACCAAGCTTTTATAAAGGCCTGCGGACTTTGCATCTGAAAACACTGGTAGGGAGAACCTTATTGCTAATGGATTGGGTGGCCTCATGATCTCATTGCTGAGAAGTTTTTCAGTGGCCTATTAAAATAAAACCAGATAAAAACAGAAATGAGATTTGGAAGGAAATCATTTTTGTGCTTCACTATCTGTGTAAATTCTGTAGTATATACTGGATAGAATACAAGGAAATAGCTAGGGAGTAAATTATGCAATATTTTTGTTTGTGTCCTCTTTATTTGTCATATAGTAATATGATCACTAAATATTTTAGAAATAATTTCTGATTTTTTTGGTTCTTTCTAAATATTTCTTTTTTTTTCCCCGCTTACTTTTTTTCTCCATATTTTATTAGGCCACTAGAAAAACTTCTCAGCAGTGAGATCATAGAGGGCATCCAGTCGATTAGTAGTAAGGTAAAATTTTTATCTGTTATCAGTTTGTGGTATAAGTATTTTTTGTGTGTGTGTGTATGCTGTTTTTTATTTTGAATTGTTTTTTCTGTACATTTACATCTAAATTTATTCCTAACCTTGAAAGCAAAGGAACTTGTATAAAGTGTTGCTTTCCTAATAGTTAATGGTTGCTTTCCTAATAGTTAATGGTTGCTTTCTTAATAGTTAATGGTGTATTTGTTTATACTACATGGCAGACAGGGTAGAGAGGTAGAATCTAGAGTCCTGAAGGCAAGTGGTGATGTGACTTATAAGCTTGCCCTACTGTTCAGACAAGCAAATGTCTCCCTTCCGGAAAAGCACACATTCTTCTTCTGTGTTCATCCGAAGATGTAAATGCATAAGATGTAAATGCATTGGGCCCATTTACAGCAGCATAGTTGCTATATGTGTGCCTTTTGGCCGATACATTCAACTTTTGCAGGCATTTGTTGATTATAGCAAATGATTATATCCACATGTCCCCAAACTTGGACAATGATTAGATCCTAGGACCAGGAAATACCTACCTGTGAAATGCGCTGTCTGAATGGTGACTAACAACACAAGAAGAGACTGTATCCACAAACACCAGCATTAAAGAGAAGGCTGGAGCAAGGCTGTCCCTGAGTTACTTTGAAAGATGGAGAAGGAAGTATTAATCATATAATAAGAATGCAGCTAAACTAGACTGTTTATGAGACCTTTTACAGCTGAAATCTGGGCAGAAGATGAGGGAACAACCAAGGCAGAGATGGCTTGAGATGTAGCTGAACCTAGCAAACAAAAGTTGAAAAAACCATCACTGAAGCAAGCATAAGACAATAACAGAAAACTTTGGCACTGGGCTACAACCTGGTAACACTGACAACAAAGAAAAAAAGAAGAGTGCTTATATTTTTACAGATAGCTTTTCTTTTTTGCTTCAGGAATGTAAAGATGCTTCTTTATTATTATTTTGACATAGTTATATTGGGTTCTGAGGATTTTTATCATGGTATGGGGCATTGCAGGTCGACCCAGCCTAAAATGGGTACCAGGATGTATGTCCTGGGGAAGTAAAGACGGCCAGCGTAATGCTGACCACATTACCCACCTAGTGATGACTGGTCCTTAAAAATATGGAATGCTCTTCCCATATGCCCGATGCCCCTAATGAGTGAAAAGGGATCTTTACTGTTACTTTATATTGGGTTCTGTGATAGTCCGGTTGCTAGTATGTGTGCTTGTCAGCTTGATGGTCATTAGCTAAAATAACTCGGAGATAGATTTAAAACATTTATCTGGACTTTCATGGCCATGATGATAGAACCTGAACATTGAAGAAAACTGGATTATGAATATCATGGTTGTGGAACTGACCTACTTTAATCACAAAAGTTTCACAGTGATACAGAAAGAACAGTGATGGAAAGCACGGTATGAAAAAAGGGGAATTCATCCTTTTTATGCCAGTGGCATATGCTAAAAAACTCGAATGTGTAAACACCAGTCAATCTGCTCCCAATGGCTGCAATGGACAATATAATGCCTACCACCTTTACTTCCAGTAAATTTCCTGCCACTCGTTTCAGGCTGTGTTTATGCTTGAAGCCAAGGTAAACAAAAATGAACTGACTCAATGGAGATTCTTCTTCTTCATCGTTTATCCAAGTGGCGTAGTTGCGCTGGGCCTGTTTACAGCATAGCTGAGATATTTGCGCCTTTTGGCTGACACATCTGTTTTCGTCGGGCATATGTTCAACAGGTTAGCCTTCCCGGCAATGAGGATTTGAACACCAAGACCTTAAGGCCACCAGGTGGATGTCTAACCATGAGGCCACTGTAGCTCCTCCGTCATCTATACCTGTGCTCCCAAGAGTTCATAGTTTATTGAAGAAAAGTCAGGGATCATCGAAAAATAAATATAGTCATTAGAGATTTGCCTGCATGTTACTAGCACTGATAATCTGAAGCAGAGAATAACTTATCCAGTATGTGTCAGTTATACTGTATGGAGAAGTTATACTGTATGTGTCAGTTATACTGTATAGAGAAGTTATACTGTATGGAGAAGTTGAACTGAATGGAGAAGTTATACTGTATGCCTCTCTATACTGTATGCTGGCACTGAAAAAGCTGATAAATAGTTTGGCTCTGTGGCAGATTGTTCAGCCTGTCTTTTGTGGCAACATTGTTAATCCCTTTTAGATAGAGGATGACAATAAAATGTTTGGGCAATGGGTCCACATCACTGTTAACATTGAGACATTTGGAAGTTGAAGATCAGCAGGAGATGCTCCAACATCTGTCAAAATATTTTTTTTAAAAATGTATCAGGGCTTTAAAAGCCTTGGTATAAATTTGCTTGTAGTGATGAAAAACATAATAAAAAGGAAGATGACAAATAAAATTAGAGAAACTATGAATCTGAAGTTTGAATAGGGCAGAAGGACTGACAACAGACTGAGCTTACTTAATGGATTGTTGTGAAAGCATTATTTTGAAGAAGGCATGCGACAAGACCCACCCACTCTGGACCACAAGTAATTTTGTGGTGCCCCAGTATAACTGTGCTGTATGGCTGTAAAGTTGGACGGGGTTTCAGGAATTTGTATCAGTTTGATTCTCGTCCTTGCGATGTTAATCCTACAGACTGCAATTCTGGAAAGGGAGGGTCAGGGAGAGGGGGACTAAAACAACGATAAAAAGGCATGCTGCATGATAGTAGATGTTGTGACGGACTCTAACGGTGGCATAAATAATCTTCTGTTGTAACTAGGGCAGTACCAAATATTCGCTTCGGGGCCAAATAGTGGACCTACTGACTATTTGGTATTCGGCTGAATAGTTGCGGTCGGACCGAATACGAACAGTAGTTACCTTACACCCGCTTCTGAATAAAAAAGTAAAAAAAAAAAAGTAAAGATCCCTTTACACGCCCTTATGCGCATCGGGCATATGGAAAGAGCACCCATATTTTTACAGACCAATCGGCACTCGGTGTTTAATGTGGTCAGCATTACGCCGGCCGCCTTTACTTTCCCAGGACAGCCCGTCCTGGTACCCATTTGAGGCTGGGTTGACCTGCGACGTCCTATACCATGATAAAAATCCACGTCCGCTTCTGAATACACAACCTTAATGCTGGTTTTGTTGAAAGCTAATTCAGCTTTCCTGCATTAACTAAGCTGTCAGTGACAATTTCCAAGTTTAGTTACTTGTTATAATACTTAGGATTCACTCATTCTTAGTTATTAGTTACCACAGACAGGCTGAAGGAAGCAAAACATAAAATGTTTTTAAATGTTTACTATTCTCTACGAATACTAACTAGAAATGGAAAGAATATAAACTCCAGCCACATCCAAGTCGATAATATGAAAATCAAACCAACGGAAACATATAAGTACTTGGGTGCAAACTTCAACTGCTCTAACATGCTGAGAGAAGAAATACAATCTAGAATAGAATCTAGAAATAAAGTAGACTATGCCCTTAAACATCTGCTAAAGTCAAAGTGTCTGTCTCGCAACACCAAGATAAAAATATATAAAACGTTCACAAGACCAGTCGTTTTATATGGCTCTAAAACTTGAAGCAGAAATAAAAGAGATGAGGCCTTATTACAGGTTTTCAAAAACAGTCTTACGACAAATATTTGGACCCATCAAAGATGCTAACAGCGGGGAATGGGGAGTAAGAACAACAACATAACACATAATCTGTTTAAATCACCATTGATCACTGGCATCATGAGAGCTAACAGACTAAAATAGTTGGGGCAAATTGAAAGAATGTCAGATGACAGAGAAGTAAAACTAAACACCTGAGAGAGGAATGGGGGTAGACCACGAGGCAGACAAATTGTGAAGATAAGGCCAGCCAGAGAGATGAATGGAGACGAGTGATATCTGCAGCAGTATATCTCAAGGGCTCAGAATGCTAAAGAAGAAAATGACTATTCTGTGCTACTTTATATGAAGTAAAAGTTCAGCGTACATTTGACATTATGAATGTGTGTGTGTGTGTTAGATATATTTTACACACTATACACTATTCGTATTCCTATTCGGCCGAATAGTTGGTCCCGTTATTCGTATTCGGCCCAATAGTGAAAAATTTTTTTTTTTTATTTCTGAGACCTTATGATTAATAAACATGCCTAATTTCTGCAGCTACATGAGGAAAAGATGTTCAAGAGACATGGTGGAGAATTTATGCGTACATCAGGCAAGTATCTCATTTAGATGTGCATAAAGTGGCAACGTGTTTGGTCTTGTGTCCACAGTTTTTTTTGGCTTCTTCGGCCAGTAATTTCTGATACAGAAGTTCTGTCTCATGTACTTTCAGTTATTTCTGATGCTGAAATTCTTCTATACTATGTACTTTCAATTATTTCTGAAGTGGACATTGTTCTGTTTTGGGTACTTTCAATTATTTCTGATATAATGTTATTCTGTCTCATATACTTTCAATTATTTCTCATACAGACATTCTTCCATCTCATGTATTTTCAATTATTTCTTATAGACATATTCTGTCTCAGGTACTTTCATTAGTTTCTGACACAATTCTTCTGTCTTTTATACTATAAGTTATTGCTGATACAGACGTTTTTCTGTTTCATGTATTTTCAATTATTTATGATGCAGACATACTTTTGTCTCATGTACTTGCAGCTATTTCTGATACATGACTCTTCACTCTCAGATACTTTAAATTATTTCTTATACAAAGGTTCTTCTGCATCATGTACAGTTTTTGTGATACAAAGATGTTTAGCATTTTTCGTGTTATGCTACTGGGACCCTTTGGGAAGCAGAAATTAGTAAGAATGTAACCTGCCAAGTGTGGAAAACCACTAGTATCAACTGCCGAGTGGTAGATTACAGTGTTACTGTTCTTTGATCATGTAATGAAAAGAAGAAAACTGGAGTATATCGTGACAGTAGAAAATTTGGAGGGGAGGAGAGGCAGAGGGAGTCCGAGAGAAAAGATGCTGGACAGTTTTAATATCATGGCATCGAGGATCATCTGTGTCAGAGCCAGTTGAAAGTACACAAGACAGAAAGTTGTAAATAGACATGACTTCCAGTGCCACTACATGGTCTTTGAGAAGAAGAAAAAGAAGAAGAAGATTCTTTGCTCACTGAGCCTCACTGATGGGTAGTGTATGTTTTTGACACATTTGTTTGTCTTTCCAGACGATAGTGTTTCATTAGGAGGCACTGAGATTTCACATTCCCATGGCAGTGATGAGTTTGACTAGCAAGACCAGCTCATGCTAAGAAGAATATTCCACAATAAATGTATCAAATTTAGGACCATTGTTTCCACTAGTAGTTATTTTGTGTTTCTTTTCAGAGGAGAGGGGCTGGTAGAATATGTAGAGCAGAAGTAAACAAACTGTTATATATTATCTATGACTGTTGATGTTTATTTCAGTGTGCTGTTTGATAGAGAAGTGTTCACTGTCAAAGCTGCCCTTCCATGGCAAGCCTGTCATAGGTATGGGATTCTGTGTTGTTGACATGTTGATGTCAGTATGATTATGTCTTGCTCATTATTAATCCTTTAGGTTTACAACCATGAAGCATTTTTTTTTTAAAGATGTGTTTAATTGTGAACGGAGTGGCTGGCCAGATAGATGGGCTGTCTGGGTTCAGTCCTCTGCAAAGGATGGAGATTTATTTTCTTCTCTGGCAAAATTAAAATTCCTTACTTGCACAGCCCATGGAGACTGCACTTTTCATGCGACCCTAAGTCCTCAGGCTCACCCTACCTTCCCCTTTCAACTGTCAGCGTGGTAGATATAGGCAGGGAGTTTAGTTTAATTATGTTTAGGTTATTCTTGCATAGAAATTAATTGACTGAACCGACTAAGAAGCTTATTGAAGGTGTGAAGAAGGAAAAAACACACAGGAACAAATGCACATTTTGACTGCAGCCTGTATCAACAAAAACCACAAGAGGTATACTTTGGATTACATTTTGTAAATTCTTGCTTTACTGCAGTCAGTCCTCTTTGTAAAAATATCACTTTTGTTCTTACTTTGGTTGTAAAGGTACAGTTAGTTGCATAAGAGATGCCATTGATGTATAAAGTGTTATGCTTTCTTCTTTGGTTGTCTCACTGATAGCAGGTTGTAGCCTAGTGTCATGGCTCTGCCTTCAAATATGAGTCCAACCTTATACGTCTGATGTGCCACTGCCATGTAAAGGGACCTTTACGTTAGAAAAAACAAATTTGCTGCAAAATCCAAGCAATAATAAACAAAACTGCAAAGAGATTGTTTTGGTCGCTTGAGAAGAGAAAGGTCTGAAAATGCACTGACAACTGGAAAGAGGTATGAAAAATGAATGAAGAAACACATATTATTTTGAAAGGGTTAAGAATTGGTGGGATAATTTTGCTATTTGGCTTGTTCTACTGTTTGAACTATATAAGTGCCTCATTTATGCTGTAAAGTCTGGACACATGAAAGCACAGTCGAAACATTATGATGACGTTGATACAGTTTATAGTGGTACATCAAATCAACCATTCAGTTGATGTCAAGAGTTCTCCCTAGTCGTTGACACCTGCCTATGACTGACTGCCATGACAGGATGACAACTAGACAAAAGGTACAATAACCTGCCTGTCAGAACATTCCATTTGCTTGGGTGTGACTTCTGAATCACAGTAACACAATGTTCACAGACACTAGACAATTCAGAATCAAATCTCTTCAGACATTCAGAGCTTTCAAAAGTGGTGTTCCTTTAGTTCACACTGACATTCACCTTAGTCATACTATCAAGCAATCTGCCTCTCACACGGTCAAAACACAACTGACTCTCCGTTCAAACCTTAGTTCCAATCTCACTCTTTTTCGTACCCTTGTTCACAGAACACGGGATATTCTGGACATGCATTTTTCATGTATCTCTCGTTTTCCTGACCCTCTGACCTTGTCCCTTCAACTTGGAAACTCACTGGGGTTCCCTAGGAATTTCCATCATTGCAGTTGGCAGTAGCCTAGGGTTGACTACAGCATTAACGTTACATTTTTAAGAATCAGTAAGTTTGTTTGTAGACTGACAACATTATTGTATTATAAGATTGTGTTTGTTCTCTTTTAGATTTATGGCAATCTGTGATTGATGAGTGTTTGACACATATTGAGACAGATATACAGGTAAAAATCATCCAGTTTTCACCTGATTTGTATTGAAGGAGAGAGTTGTGAAATGTGTGTTTGATTTCAGGTGTTGTGTGAAAAATGTATGGTAAACTTACCCAGCGCAGTCAAGACTTTACCCCCATATGGGTTCCTGAGCTCAATTTTATGGGTAAAAATAACTATCCACTGTCTTTTAACGTCATCATCATCATTATGTAGCAGGTCCTTTTCAGAACGTCACTGCCATCACAATCCCCTTGAAAGAAACTTGTCTCCTTGCCAGCTGTCCCTTCTCATATGCTTTGCTGCCTGAGGTGTCTCTTATTTCCTTTACCATTTTCATACAGGTAGCCCATGTAGCTCCTACCTAGTATCATGCTCTCTGCTACTGTTCTTTCCAATCCACCACGACCAAAGAATTTGAGTTTCCGAGACAGAATGTTGTTTATGAGCCAGTTTATCTTGATGTTCAAATCTTTTAGGATGTCAAAATTTCTTTACTTCTTGGTCCATGGTGTTCTGGGAATCTTTAAATATCATTTCAGCTCAAAACTCTCTATTTTCTTCCCAAATATATCTTAACAAGCATGCCGTAAAAGAGGACTAATTAAGAATTTGCTGAAATCACATGTGTTGGGCAGAAATGCACAGATATCACAGCCTAGCTGTAAACCATAACCCAGTGAACCAGATTCCCTTTTAAGGACAAACACAGAAGAAGAAGAAGACCACTTTCATTGACCTGTCTGAAGACATCTTGTACATGTAAATTGTTTGAGTTTAGACTAATCCATTAAAATCTCCCCCATCTTGAACTGGTAATAGAATTCCAACCAGAGACAAAAACAAACATTTTAGTTGCGTGATATATTTCTACAACATGTTTTCATACTAATGCTATCAGTTCATCTATCATCATCTCATCTGGGGTCCACTCAGCATCAGAATGACCTCCTCCATATCTCTCTCTCTCTCTCTCTCTCTCTCTCTCTCTCTCTGTTGTTTGCTCTGTCTTTCACTCTCTCCTACCTTGCTCAGTCTCTTTCTCTCAGTTTTCTTTTTCTGCATTCACCCTTAAAAGAGTACTTGAAACATTGTGTTGTAGTTGACATCTAGGCTTTCTATCAAGCATATCCATTTTAAACAAATCCTAAATCAGTAACCTTTTATAACATGCTTGTTAAGTGACAGTAGGTCATTCCCCCCCCCCCCCACCCCCTCCCCCCACCCAATGTGACCCTAAAAAGCACATAGGGATCATGGATTTTTATATGTACTTTTCCATGTTTCACTTATTCCTATTTAACTTGTCATCATTTCATCTTTCATTATATCATCACATCCCTTTCTTACTCTTGCATCTCATGTAATAACATTCAGTTGCTCCCACTAGGCTTTCCTTGTCACCTAATTGTTTGGCATTTAAATTTGTCTTTTTTTTTCCTTGTAAAAGAAACTATAAAAGATTTATTTTACATTGGCAGGCTGCTGCAGTATCAGCCATTCCAGCATTTTTTTCTGAATATTACATCAAGCCAGATGGTTCAGTGATCAAAGAAAAGCAAGGTTTGTTTGTTTGAAGTTTATCATTTCTGACTGGCTTTCTTTCCTCTCAATCTTTATGAAGATGATGATGTTTAACCCCACCAGGACATTACATCAAGTGATAGACACCCATTGACACAAAGTGCCACCATTTGGATGAGAATCACCCAGGGCCAGGTCCAAGAAACCTCATTCAACCCATAGGTTGGGTTATATTAGGGTTCCCGGCAACAACCAGGGTGGGGCTTCAAAATAGCAAAAAAATTGCATCCCACATGTGGACCGCAAATTAAAAGATAATTAATTGTGCTGGGCCAAAAAGCTTTAAAATCTGTACTATAAATCACAAACCTTTTCTGTATTTGGTGTGTTTATTATGAATGAACTGTTAACTTCACCCAGGCTGTGACCTTTACCTGGATTACATTTTCAGTTGCCATTACGACTACGGTGTTTGATTTAACAGTTTCATGGGTGGTCAAGTTATTGTGCATTTCTTTTATTTATAGCAACAATCATTATAAGTAAAAATTTGCTGGAGTTACATCCCTTGCAATATTTTCCTTCTTACATCTCTTACATAAAAAAAAAAAAAAACATTTTATTTCATTGTTAACTCCCTTATAACTTAGACTGTAAGATAGGGGCGTTAGTGGAGGTTGTTGCTTTATTGGTCAGACTTGGGTTGCCAACATGCTGAATTTTAACCCTGTCACTCCCCTCATTATTCCAAAGGGGTGCTAAGGTGGTGCTAGTGCTAACTTGTCTAGGGCGCTCCTACCACTCCACCTTGGGCTGTGACTCAGGGGTCAGCTCCCACACCCCGTAAAAATGTATTTGCTACAGAAACTTCAGAGAATCACCAGATATGCACTGAAATGGGATAGGCTTAGAAAACAAAGGTATCTAAAAAAACGTAAAGATGCAAGGCTTATGTTGTGCTCACTCCTCCCTGGAGTTTCTACTATATATACTAGAGCGGTGGAGACCAAGATGAGAATAACGCTTTCTTTCACTATTCTGGGCAAAGCTGATCTGTCCTCACTCACTTTGGCCCCTCACTCAGCAATCCTGGTGTAGAGTTCAATTATAGAGAAAGAGCTGTATGGGAGCGGCGTGGGTTCGGGTCAGGTTATTATCCATGGAAACATATAGGAGTGAGAGGTGATTTGTAAAGCCCTTACGGCCTTTGTTTCAGATAAGAGTACCCATGACTCCTGAGGCGAACTGCCATGTGTTATATTGTTCTATACATTAAAGATTGTTGTGTGCTCTGTCGGTGTTTGAGTTTAGTGTGTTTAGGATAGGTTTATCTGTCACGGGCCTTAAACATGAGCCACGTGCTGGTACGGTAGACATAAGATTCCTGACAGTGCTGTAACACATCTGTACTGTGATGTGTGTGCTGTAATTACCAATTTTAAATGTATTCTTTAAAAAAATATTTCATACAGATGCAATTCTGTCTACTTACCTACATGAACTCAAGTCATCCAATCAGGCAACAAGGTAAATATGGTTTGTGTAGGAAAATGTTATCATCAGCATTGAATCTTCATGCATTGGGGGGAGGGGGGGGGGCACAATAAAATGGCAGAGAGCCCATTTCATACCAAGAGGTACCCCCATGTGGGTTCCATTTTGGGGGACAAAGATTACACTCACTGCCTCCCCCAGCCTCTTTCCATCAAGCATGTCTTGCATAGGAGGTTATTTATTCCCTTTGAAGTCAGAGTGCATTTGCCTGAGAGACTAGGAATAAAATGACTGCACACAAATAAGTCAGATCTGTCAAGTGAATATGCATGCAAAACTCAAGTTCTGGAACAAAATAAGCGCCAGAAGTGGATGAACAACCGGAACTTGTTGGCCAGAATTTACAGCTGGTGAACGCAAACAAACAACAAATATACCGAGATGTGGTATTTTGGATATATATATATATATATATATGTGGATATATGTTTTGGACAACATATTACTGTGTGGGTGGTGTGGTCAGTATTTTACCAGCTGCCGTTGATCATTATCCTTTTGTGTCGTTGTATGTCACATAGTGCTAGCATTGTTTTAATATTATGAAAAAAGTTCAGTCCAACACCTCTGATCTCTCATGAATGATTATCTTTGGATTTCTTTTGGACATCCTTGCCTCCAATTTATTTGTTTCCTGTTTAATTGCTTGATGATTCTCTGTATGCGTCTCCTAAGGTGTGCCCAGTATATTACCATTTACTTCCCAGCACATTTCCTGCATCTATTTAGGAGTGATTGACCAGGGAAGCCTGTCAGTAAAAAAAAAACACAAAAATTCACACCCAAAAACAAAAACATGTGAATGCATACTGACAGGGCCTCACGGTAAGATTCTCTTTCTTCATCTGCTTATTTGTCTTCTTCTTTCAAATACCTGAGCACATACTTCAGAACTTTCCCCTACAGTAGAACCTGCAAGAAAACACATGACCAGAGGGAAGAGACATCTAGGACAAACTTTGATGATGCCTTGAAGACTTGCTGCTGGCGTGCCATTCATGGAGGCAACACAGCTTATGAAATCGATTGCAAAGAAGAAGAAGAAACATTTCAAACCAGTGGCGTATTGGGCATATGATTCTAGAATTTTGTTATACAACTTTGCCACTAACATTTGGTGTCATAACACTGCACATTTAGTCCCAGACAATTATTTTACCCCTGAGTAGATCCTCTAGATGCAGAATATGTAATCTAGAAGTAAGATTTGGCATTTTTTAGCATTGTTGTACAACTTTGCCACTAACATTTGGTGTCATAACACTGCACATTTAGTTCCAGACGATTATTTTACACATGAATAGACGCTCCAGAGGTAGAGGATAGTTAATCTAGTTTTATAATTTGCCCAAAATTGTGATTTTTTCCACAGCAGAAAAGGAGATTGGCTACAGAAAATGAAGGAAAATAACTGCATTTTGTTGTACAGCTTTGCCACCAACTTTTGGTGTCCTACCACCACACATTTAGTCCCAAACAATTATTTAACCCCTGAATAGACTGTCTAGATGCAGAATATGTAATCTAGGTGTAAGATTTGACATTTTAGACCAGACTGGAGGCAGAAATAGGGAATAGACCCGCTACCACTCTAACAGGCTTGTCCTAAAAGGCAACTAATTATGGATTTGCTGAAATTGCATATGTTTGGTAAAAAGGTGCAGATACGACAACCTTTGTGTAAAGCAGAACTTGCACACTGCCCTTTTAAGAGTGAACGAAGGAAAAACAACTTGCCAACCATTATTATCTTGTGTTTATGTGTGCATGCGAGCACAGTCTCTCTGGTGAGTGTTGGTTGTCATGCAACCACTGCTCCCTACATGGTGAGGCCCCAGTTGCTTCCACAGTGTGACTCTTGCACTACTGTCCCTTGTCACTTAAATGTAAGCCATAAAGCCAACTTCAGAATCCATCCTCATTATAAATATTCTGCTTTTCTTAGATTACCGGTTTAAACAGATTCTGACTGCACAGTGTCTAAAACAATTGTCAGTACTCACCACAAATTGTCTGTTGCAGTATAGCTGGGGGGAAAAATACCCCTCCCCAAAAAAAGGTGTTGGTACTGCATACCATTATGTACCACCAGAAAAAAAATCCCAGGCACAATCTGTAAAGTTGATATTGGTGCCTTAAAATATTTTTGTTGAAATTTTTTTGTAATTAACATCCAAAAAAAAAAAAAAATAGTGTACTGTTGAATCTCTTGAATAAAATTCAAACATTGTAATTGTCACCAGGCAGGGACATAGCCTAGCTTTAGGAGCCTTTCCCAAGGCCATGCTGGAAGGGAATCTATCAAAGGTTATGTCTGGGCTGATAACTGTTGCTACAATTACTGAGAGAGATGAGAAGATGGCTGAAGCCAGGAGGGACGCTATTAAAGCCCTATCCTCGTAAGTACACTGATTATCCTAATTGGCTCTTTTCCTCAGATATAAGGATTACCCTGTTCAACCTTTAAGAAGATTTGGGTCATTGATTTATGTGTAGAGTTTTGTTATCGAAAAAAAAAAGAAGAAGAAATAATTGTATCTTTTAAAAAATAGATTGTTATAATGATAGTTTTTACTTGCTGTAGTTGCTTTTTAGTCATTCTCTGTAGGTGGAACATTTTTGTTTAGAACAATTTTAGAATTTCCTTGGTTTGCGTATCTTCTTGGCTTCAGGCTGGTTGAAAGGTAAAAGGTCTAACTTTATTCTACTGTCTGACTGAGCCATATGTGGCCAAGTTGATGTAAAAATTTTCCTGAAAGCATCAGTAATAAAGGTTGTAATGATGTTATAAATAGGGATAATGTCAGGGGATGATTGGCATAACTGGGGAAGTCCCTGAGAGCATGGGTTTCACGGAGATATGGTGAAACGACAGGAAAGAGTGAGTCACGTGTGAATGAGGAGATCTGGGGATTGAGAATCAGGCGGGGATTCGGTGACTGGGCCCCAGAGAGAAAGGATGTGAAATGAAGCTGTGAAGATGAATGGAGAATGACTAGAGCATGTGGATCTGAATCGGCGAGGAATGAATGATCGAGAAGGCCAGCTGTGATGGTACCCTGTTTGATTGTCAAAGCCAACTGTGAATATGTCAGCGTCTATTGTCCGAATGCTGTAAGTGGATTAACCTGTGATTTGTGTATTAAGCTAACGTGTAAATAAACTCGTGAAATGTGCCGCTGGTGTTAACCGTTGTTAGACGTTGTGTGACTGTGAAGAGGTGCTTGTCTGCTTTGATTGAGTTGTGAACCTCTAGACATCAGAGCCAGTGTTAACTCTGCACCACAGATAACCAGTGTGGAGGAGACACAAAAGGGCAGTCATTACATTGGGGACCCGTCCTAAGTGCGAATAAATTGTAAGTTATAAGTATGAGTTACAGTGCAGGCTTGTTCTAACTATGCCAGTACATCAGACGTAGTGTTTTTGTGGACAGAAGTAAAATTTAGGCAAATACCGGCAGCCGTAAGTTTTGAGTGACTATGTGTGTTGGAAGATGGAGTTTAAATAAATGTCGGGGTATTATGTAAGACCAGGACATGCTGTCATTAAGTAAAACCGGGACAACTGAATTCCAGACTCTGGTCATTCTGAAACAAACAAGCTAGCCTGAGAAAAATTGGCAGAAACACGGCGAAACACAGCGAAACAATACTGGGTAATGTATTCACTTCACGTGTGATAAAATTGCACAAGTTTCATCCCGCGACGTGGGAACGCTTGTTCGTCGCTGGAAGAGACTGTGTAAGCTGAACTTTTGACCCTTGTGGTGGGTAATCCACGACGGAAAAGTGTCAGCAGCAGTATCCCTGTGATCGTTGTTTAACGTGGGTTTTGTTCGTCAAACAAGAGGTCATAAACCAGAGATACTAATTTCGGACTAGATTTCACCGCAAGAACACTGCATTGCCAGGGGCCGAGACGGCACTCAGTTACAGCGAGCAAGGTCATCAACAACGGTCAAGTACAACACAGTAGCAGATAAAACGTCATCAGCGACAGCTAACTCGAGGCAACCGTACAGCACACCGTCCACAAGTGAATGCCTCAGGTCAAGAATACTTGTCAATAAAAAAGAACGGGGTCCAGTCAGCACCAGAAGTAGTACTTTTACTACTAAATGTTTGTAATACGTCCGTATAGGTGAGTTCAAGTGTGTATTGTGTAGGCAAGGAAGGAGTGGTGTTTATTAACATTAATTACGTCACGAATGGTTTACAATTTATAATGGATAGACAGTAAAAACAGTGATTAATGTGATAGACTATGACTATTCAGGTTGTAGAGTAGAACTACATACTTTCTTTGTAAGAAAAGTATTTCAGTGAGAATCTAACATTTATCAACAGTTTGTGGTGACAATTAGTGAAATTAATATGCGCTAACTGTCTCATTTCAGGAAGTGGCAGTAGATATAATAGGCCCATTATCAGTAGTTTCTGCTAAAGGTAACAGATATATCTTTACGCTTATTGATCTTGCCAGTCGATGGCCTGAGGCTTGGCCACTAAGAACAATTACTGCTGAAGATATCCAAGAAGTGTTGCTACAGATATTTTCACGAATTGGATTTCCCGAAGTGATAATATCGGACAGGGGAACGCAATTCACATCAGTGGTAACGAGAGCAATTATGGATTTGTTAGGGATAAAACAACAATTCACGACACCGTATCATGCTCAGGCAAACGGATTAGTTGAAAATTTAAATAAAAGCATTAAGAAAATGCTAGGCCGCATAACATATGAACATCCGTCAACATGGGACATTTTGCTACCCGCAATATTGTTTGCATATAGAGAAGTTCCACATATAAGTACAGGAATGTCACCTTTCGAAATTGTCTATGGGGCAAATCCAAAAGGCCCAATTTCTTTGTATAAGAAATTAATAACAGGAACAGTAGAAAACAGTGCAACCGGAAATGATTACCAAGCTGTAATTGCCCTAAGAAATAAAATAATAACATCATGTGAGGAAGCAAAGGCGGCACTACAAAATTCAGGAATCTGGCAAAGAAGATACGCAAACAGATCAACACGACTTGTAAAATTAACACCAGGAGATGAAGTCTTAGTATTGTTACCAGCAAAGTCAGACAGACTATTAGTTGAATGGTCAGGTCCGTACAAGGTGACCAGAAAAATATCTGATGTGGATTACGAAATCCTAAAGAACAACAAAAAGAAAATTTTTCATCTCAATATGTTAAAGAAATACATTCGAAGGTCAGTGATAGACGAAAAAGAAGAGGTACAAGTATCAAATGCATGCAACGTAGTGGACGAAGAAATGATAGATGCAGTAGAGGACGAAATTCCCACTTTAGAACTGGAGAAAAGTAAAGATTGGAGAGACATCAAAATAAACTCACAATTAAATGAACAAGATAAAAATGCAGTTCAAAACATCATTTCAAAATTCAAAGAGATATTCACTACAAAACCTGGACGAACAAATTTGATAGAGTATGAAATTCAGTTAAAGACAGATATCCCAGTTAGATCACGGAATTACACGATACCTCTGCATTATTTGGACAAGGTCACAAACGAAATTAAACAACTCCAAAAAGACAAAATAATTAGAGATTCAACTTCTCCATATAGCTCACCATTGGTGATAGTAAAAAAGAAAGATCAGTCACTTTGATTATGTGTAGATTACAGGAAACTCAATAGCATCACAGAATTAGATTCAGAACCAATTCCAAGCACAGAAGATATTCTTCAGAGTTTATCTAAATCCAAAATCTTTTCAAAACTAGATTTATGTAAAGGTTACTGGCAAATACCAATGGCAGAGACATCAATACAATATACCAGCTTTCAATCACCATTAGGCTTAAAAGAATGGTTACGAGTTCCCTTTGGAATTTTAAATGCGCCAAAAATTTTCACCAAAATGATAAGAAAACTGTTAAACAACGTTGAAAACGTAGTAGCATACATGGATGATATCTGTATTCATACTGACAATATGCCAAAACATCTCCAAACGTTAGAGAAAGTATTTCAGAGAATTCAAGAAGCAAATCTTACAGTAAATCCAACCAAAACTGAAATTGCGTTCACAACTATCGAATTTTTGGGACATAAAGTGTATGATAACTAAATACAGACAGACGATAAAATAGTATCAAAAATATTAAAAATTGAAAAACCAAAAAATAGGAAACAACTACAGTCGTTGTTAGGTCTTAATAATTATTATGGAAAGTTTATCCCCAATCTCGCAGACCTAACCTTTCCGTTATTTGAACTGTTAAAAAAGGGACAACCAACAAAACTAAAATGGGAGCAACAACATGACGAATTGTTACAAAAAATTAAAGAAACTTTTTCCATATTTCCAATTCTCAGACAGCCAGACATATCAAAAAGATTTTATCTACAGTCTGATGCGAGTTTGCATACCATAAGTTCAATGCTAGCTCAGTTACATTCTAATGTTTTATTACCTGTATATTATATGTCACAAAAACTCACCCAAGCGCAACAGAAATATAGTGCGTTCGAGCGAGAGGCATTAGCTATAGTGATCAGTTTGAAAAAATTTCAAAAATTCCTAATCAGCAAAGAATTTACAATCATCACAGATAATCTTGCATTGGTAAAACTGCAGAACATAGATGCTAATAAAAACGCTAGAGTTTACCGCTGGGCATTGTTACTGCAACAGTTTAAATTTGACATTATGCATGTAAAAGGGGTTGACAACCACATTCCAGATATTATGTCTAGGTTATAAAGATAGTAAACAGAAATAATCACAAGGGGAGTTAAATGGAAAAGGGAGATAATTATAAATAACAAGTAAACAGAAATTATCACAAGGGGAGTTAAATAGAAAAGGGAGATAATTATAGGTAACAGTCTAACATTACTAACGAATGTTTAATAAACGTGTTGTTACTAACAATTAATATTCAAATAAAATAAATGTTGTATGATGTGATGATATGAAAGTTATGATGTGAAAGTGATAATGAGGAATGGCGTATGAATTTAAAAATAAAAATGAAAGATGGTGTATGAGTTTATAAAAAACCAACAGACACATTAGGTTATAAAAGAAATTTTATTAACAGGAAATTACAGATGTATTAAAATATAGAAATTTGGAAATATCTATGATATACTGTACAAACAGAAAATGAAATTGCCACAATGCTAAAATGAGAAAATTCTGGCAAAGCTTTGGTATAAACCATGGTGAATGACGAAGACCAACAAGGAGTAGCAATCACTTTGAATGAACTGTCAACAGGAACTTGTTTCTATGGGGGACATACAGAACTGTGTGATTTATAAGTCTAGTTTTGGAGCCATTTTTGGACTTCCGCGTTGTTGAGGAACGCTTTGGGGTGTTGTTCAGTCTTCTTTAGGTAGACTGACTTCAGGACTTGATAAGTACGTCACAGAGCCTATAAGGTCATCCGCGTTGTTTGAGGAACGCTTTGGGGAGGTGATTCTGTTAGCATATTGCCAAGAACTGTCAAGGGGAGTGACAAGAGATGCTGCATATGTTGTACAAGTCAGAGAACCGATGGTAGAATTCCAACCAACAGTTAAAAAAAAAATATTAGTAAAATAAGGCATATATATTCTTATATGGAAATTTATATAGGTTTATGGAAAAAAAATATTGCATATTTTTTTTGTTTAAGGGGAGGAGAGATGTAATGATGTTATAAATAGGGATAATGTCAGGGGATGATTGGCATAACTGGGGAAGTCCCTGAGAGCATGGGTTTCACGGAGATATGGTGAAACGACAGGAAAGAGTGAGTCACGTGTGAATGAGGAGATCTGGGGATTGAGAATCAGGCGGGGATTCGGTGACTGGGCCCCAGAGAGAAAGGATTTGAAATGAAGCTGTGAAGATGAATGGAGAATGACTAGAGCATGTGGATCTGAATCGGCGAGGAATGAATGATCGAGAAGGCCAGCTGTGATGGTACCCTGTTTGATTGTCAAAGCCAACTGTGAATATGTCAACGTCTATTGTCCGAATGCTGTAAGTGGATTCACCTGTGATTTGTGTATTAAGCTAACGTGTAAATAAACTCGTGAAATGTGCCGCTGGTGTTAACCGTTGTTAGACGTTGTGTGACCGTGAAGAGGATCTTGTCTGCTTTGATTGAGTTGTGAACCTCTAGACATCAGAGCCAGTGTTAACTCTGCACCACAGATAACCAGTGTGGAGGAGACACAAAAGGGCAGTCATTACAAAGGTCATCCCATGAGTCACCCAATACATTTTGTTTTTGTACGCCCAAGGAAGGTATTCCTTAAACTGCTTCACTCTCTTTGTTTTTATTGATTCTTCTTCTTCTTCTGCCTTTCTATCCCCCAATGGAGCATAGGCCCTCAACCAACTCACGCCAAATTGCTCTATCCTTCGCCATTGCATGGAGCTCTCCCCATGTCCTCCCAATCTTTCTAACCTCATTCTCCATGTGTTTTTTGGCCTTCCTTTATTCCTATGCCCCTGTGGGTTCCAATGCAAAGACATTCTAGTTATGCTGTTCTCCTGTTTTCTCAGTGTGTGCCCTATCCAACGCCAGCATCTTTTTCTCGCCTCCTGATCCACTGGAGCCTGTTTAGTTCTCTCCCAAAGTTCTACATTAGTTATTCTATCATACCATTTTATTCCCTCTATTCTGCGCAGGCACCAGTTAATGAATGTCTGTAATTTATTAGTAATTGCCTTGGTTGTTCTCCATGTTTCCGCCCCATACAATAGTACTGATTTGACATTAGAATTAAAAAATTTTAGTTTAGTATTTCTTTTAATTTCTTTTGACCTCCACAAATTCCCTAGTGCTATGAAAGCCCCTCTTGCCTTTTGTATTCTTATTTTAATATCTCTATCAGTTCCTCCATCTTTATCTACATTACTGCCTAAATAGGTGTACGACTCCACGTCTTGGAGTGGGGTGCCATTAAGAGAAACCACATTACTATTTGCCTGATTTATTCTCATTATCTTTGTCTTTCCTTTATTTTATGGATTTTCAGACCAAGCTGCTGTGAACTCGCATTAAGTATATTTAATTTATCTTGCATCTGATTCCGTGAATGGGACAGAAGAGCAATATCATCAGCGAAGTCCAGATCATCAAGCTATTTTGTAGGGGTCCACTGAATTCCATTCTTGGTGTTAGCAGTTACTGTTTTCATAGTCCAGTCTATAATTAGTAAAAATAAGAGAGGCGACAAAAGACATCCCTGTCGCACACCTGTTTTTATTTCAAATGCATCTGTTAGCTTTCCCTCATGAAGAACTCGACATTTCATGTCTTTATATGTTGCCTTTACTAAGTTGATAATTTTCTGTGGGATTCTATAGTGCCCCATCAATTTCCAGAGAGATTCCCTATCAATGCTGTCAAATGCTTTTTCATAGTCTATAAATCCAATGTAAAGTGGTGAGTTCAGTTCAATGCTTTGCTCTATTATAATACGTAATGTGGCTATCTGATCAGTACAGGATCTGTTTGACCGAAAACCTGCCTGCTCATCTCTTAGCATTTTATCAATAGCATCTTTTAATCTTTCCAAAATAATTCTACTTAATATTTTTCCAGGAACTGACAGCAACATAATTCCTATATAGTTTTCACACTCCTGTAGATCACCTTTTTGGGCAGTTTCACAAGATATCCTTCTCTCCAGTCTGCTGGTATTTCTTTCGGTCTCCCAGACTTTACTGAATAATCTATGTAACAATTCTGTTGATGTGTTTATGTTGGTCCTGATGGCTTCAGCTGGGATACCATCTGGGCCTGTCGCCTTTCCTTCCTTGAGAAGATTTATAGCTTTTCTAATTTCCTCTTTGGATGGTATCTCACAGTTGATATCCAGTTCCATTTCTAAAGGCTGGATATCTGGGCGAACCTTTTTATTGATTACCCCTATATATATCTATTGCAAATTTGTTACAATTTGTTAGGGACCTGTATAATGTGTGTGTTTTTTTAAGGATTTTCTTTCCAGAAATAACAGTCCCCCCTTCCCAACATCCCCCCCCCCCCCCCCCCCCCCCCCCCTCCCCCCCCCCCCCCCTCCACCTCCCCCCACGCCTTCCCGCCACCCTTTGATATTCTACAGAGGGTCTGTTCATACCGCCCTCTCCCACACCTTTTTTTTTTTAGCATTCACAGGGTGAAAGTGTTCAAATGTGTAGCCAGTAACAAACAACCAGTATGCCTCATGGCATGAAACAGAATCTTGTACTTGCTTGACTTACTAAATCAGAGGATTTCAAAACAGTTTTTTGTTGTTGCCCATAGTGAATATAAATAATGCGGACACAAACAAAATATTGCACAGTTTGTTGCCTGCCATATTTCACTGTATCTCTGCATTACTACAGAATCAACATATAATGAAGCACATACAAAAACTGAATTATTTTCATTGAACTACACATTGTATGGTCTCTCTCAATACCTTGTTTGTCCAGTCGCCAGAAGTTTATGACAGTCAGATCCTCAGAGGTTACCAAGTATATGTGTTTCTTCATCTTTATTTCAGCGTGTGTATGACAGTCAGTGTGGAAACCAATGGTGATCCTGATCGTGTCGTCTGCAAGGACAATGTCAAGGTCATTTATGAAGCTCTCCTGCAAGCCATGAAGGACTACACACTAGACAGCAGAGGAGACATCGGCGCCTGGTTAGTAGATCTTGTTTTTTAACATAGAGTGCAAGCTGATTTAGTCCATGAAGGACTAGAGAGCAGAGGAGACATCGGCGCCTGGTTAGTAGATCTTGTTTTTTAACATAGAGTGCAAGCTGATTTAGTCCATGAAGGATTATAGAGTAGACAACAGATGGGACACGGTGGTACCCTTCTAATGCTATGACCCTTTAAGACAGTTTCCTTATGTTGTGACGACTCCCAAACAATTATTTTCTTTTTTTTATCCGGCTGTGCACCGCTTTACAGGATAAATATTTGTCAAATAAACAAGAAACATTTCTTATAAATGTCTTCTGTAGGCAGTCCTTTTGTTTCCCGCCCCCCCCCCCCCCCCCCAAAGAAGAAACACACAACAGCATGTTGTTCTTTAAGGGTACACTCTGAAAGTACAGTCTTCATTATGTTTCTGTGTAGCAAATGCGTATGCAACACCTAGCATCACCTAACAAACAGTTTGATGTTGCTGTCACCTAATGACACCTTTAGAAACCACCAACTACACTCCTGCCATTCCACAACCATTTATGACTTACTTATTGACTTCCATCACACTTTAGCATAGATAGCAAATTGAGTGCCTGAACATGAGTCACGGACTGTATTTTTTCTCACCTGTTGATATGGGAGCAGTGGTAGTGCTTGCCTGTCAGCCTGGTTGTTGTGAGTTCAAAACCCAATCGAGGAAGATATTTAAGGCTGCCATGCCGACCCAGTCTAAAATGGATATAAGAAAATTTCCAGTAATAAAATCTGTGAAAAAATTTCTTAAAATAATATTGACCAGGAAGAAGAAAACACTAACATCCTACATGATGTGAGCATCAAGAAGAATTAGCTCATAAACATAATCCTGTCCCAAAAGATAAAGTATTTTAACCATGTTAAATATCATGGTGGCCTGGAGAGAACAGTAATGGAGTTATACAGTGTCTGGGAAATGAGGCAGAGGCTGACCTCTGTGAAGATACATACAAGACATTGAAGATGCATTGGCTGTGAAAGCACATAAGGCTGGAGAATTGGCTAGAGAAAAAGACATTTTCAGGCACGCAATGATGAGAATGACTTCTGTACGGGACCTGTTGTTTGATGATTTCTATGTTGAGTTGAGTTGAGTTAAGTCAAGAATTGACATCACAGCACTCGGGCATTCCCATATGTGTATTCCCATCTTCAGCAGCCAGCACATAGTTCCAGTACTGATGGTATCGGTCACAATCTGGTTTCATAACCGTCTTGCCTTTCCTCTGAGTGTAGTGAGCCGACCAGACCCTCTGGTTTCACCCAGGTGCCTCATTTTCTCCAGGCCATAATAATCTTCTTTCTCTGCTGATTCCGTTGCTTGTTCCCAAAGGGCCTTGACCACATCTGCCTTGTCATGTATCAATTCACCACCTAATGTCACTTTTTTTTCCAGGCTATGCCTAGTGGGTAATGAACAGGCAGACAGATTGGCTGGATCTGCATGCACTATTGATAATATCTGTGAGATGTTATAACATCACTTGCCTTTATTTCTCAGAATATCTTCATCATATGCAGTGATGCTTAAAAATGTATGTCTTTGACTTTTATTAGAAAAAAACTGTTTTAGTTTGAGATGCTATTGAATGTGTTTGGATAATATTTATTTTCCCTCTATTTGCAGGACTAGGGAGGCATCCATGCAAGCTTTGCATGACATTTCTAGTCTTATTGTCAAGGTTGATAGCTCTCTTTTGCCACCAAACATGTAAGTATCAATATTGTATGTCAGCATATTGTCTGTTTGTTAGTAACCAAGGCTTTTTGAAGACTAAGTATGCCATGGGCAGCTGTTAGGGTGGCAAAATTATAAGAGCAGCAAAATTATAAGAGCAGCAAAATATAATTGGTTTTAAAAAAAAATGTCCATAGCTATTTTGCTTTTATCATGAAAATGTCATCTAATATTGCACATCATAGTTCCAAAGGACGCTAGCTTGCACATTTGCCCTATCTGTTTTGTATTCACTTAATAGTCTTAGTGCGTATTATTATTGAGTTAAAATGTTTGAATGAGGTTGCATAAATAATTGTATGCCACATTTAAATATAATTTAGGAAACTGTTAATTTGTTATTTAGAAAACATGATTCACTTTCTTTTTTTTTTCTTTCCATTTTATTCCTTTTTAAGTGCCTTCCTGACATCATGGACATGTGGTCATGCTTGTTTACAAAACTCAGTTTCCAGTACTAACTCTGAATTTTACATTTTGATCTGTTTTCTTGCAAAAATATAATCATGGCAAAGGCAAACTTTTTCTCTGCTGTTGTATATTTCTTGTAATCCATCAATATTTGGTTTTTTTCTGACATTGCGTTCTAGCGTTTTCTTCTCAAGGGATGGCAACAGTAGTCAACATTGTTGACTGTTTCTGTGTACTATTTGTGTACTGGTTAGCCTAATTTCTGTTATGCCAGTGGTCTCTTTAAAGAAAGTACCCATCACACTTTATTACCATTCATATTTTTAACATTCTTCAGATCAGTAAAATGGATGTACATGTTAAACTCAGGTCCTGGCACAAAGACGAAGTCCAAATGGATGAATAACCATGAGTTTCCGCCGGAATTCACAGTCGGTGAACGCAAAGAATGAAAAAGATTCTTCGGTGAAGCTTTAAAAAAAACTGTTCCTTGTGTGGGTTTTTGGGGTCTCAGTTGGAGGGAGAGAAGAATAGACCCACTGCCATTCTATTAAACAATCATGCTGTAAAAGGCAACCAGTTAGCGGGGTTTTCTTTTGAAGTGGCAGGGCACCTGTCTGAGAGGCAGGGAACTAACAGCCTGCTTACAATTTAACCAGATCTCGCAGGTCGACCCAGCCTAAAATGGGTACCAGGATGGGCTGTCCTGGGAAAGTAAAGACACCAGGCATAATGCTGACCACATTACCCACAGAGTGCTGATGGTCTGTAAAAATATGGGACGCTCTGCCCAAATGCCCGATGTGCCGAAAGGCGTGAAAAAAGATCTTTACTTTACTTTTATAAAACAGATATGCAATTAAAACTCAGTATCTGGAACAAGATCAAAGTTCAGAAGTAAACAAACAGCCAGAACTTTCTGTCGGAGATTACAGCTGGTGAAAACTAAAAAGAGGAATACATCTATATTTCTTTTGCCATAATAGTTTTTCTCAGGATTGTTTTACAGCTAACATATTTAGTAAAATTAATGCCTATGCATGAGTGTGCAAATTTCTCAGAAAAACTGTTTTTTGGTATGTATGTTTTTTAAAATATAAATTTTTTTAAAAATTGTTGTGCCTGTTTTCCAGCTGCAAACAAGTGTTTTGTTCCTTAGTCCAACAAGCACTAGAGAAAATTGATAGGACTCGTTGTCTGGCAGGAATTCTCTTTACCAAGTTGTTGTATCACAGGTATGTAGAGCAGCATTTTGTGTGTCAGGCAGCCAGAATATCATTATAATTTTTTTTTTTAAATTAAAGAAACTAAATAATGAACAGAATTTGTGTATTATGGTAAGTTAGTTATGTATCCTTTACAGTATGTTGCAAAACTGTCACCAGCATTTTGTAGCTGTTTTGTGGTTTCTCTAGACAATTTTATGTTCACTAGTTTGCCACTGCCTCTGAATGGTTGACACTCTGTACCAAAATCATTTAAAAGGGGTCTGCTGTCAAATTGCCTGCAGCTGAACCAGGTACACTTTAGAATAATAAAAGGCATTCGCAGTGCTTAAGCCACAAACGCCGGCATCAGCCTTTTATTACTTGAGGCTTTGAAATATGACATAAGGAATTATTTGGTTCCATTTTATGTACCCTGATGTTTTTAACCCACCCACACACACACACTCTCTCACACACACTCACATACACAGAGAGAGAAAGGGGGGGGGGAGAGATTGCAGGTTAAAAATGGCACAAGAGTATCTCAAATAGCCTCTTTTCAGATGCGGATTCAACAGGAACAAATCACATACACCCTGTTCAGCTGGATAAAACAATTATTTGAGGGCACCCTACAGTTATAGTCTCCTGCTGGTTGGGTCTTATATATCCTGAGCTATTTAATGTTCGTCCTTGTTTACACTTTAAACATTAATTGAATGTCATCTTTTTGTTTTTTGTTGTTTTTAAAGTTTACAGAAACCATGAGTTCTTAACCATTTGGCTAAATACTATGCATATCGCAACCCTTCGGCCTTGATTCCATGATAGATACCATCAATCTGGGAGAAATGTGGCTTTTTTGCCTACTCCCGGGCATGAACCCGGACCACAAGGAGTTCATCACCCGGTCACTGACAGAGGGCTTTAACCAACTAAGCTAGAGAGCCGGGCGAATGTCATCTAAAAAGTGTCTGTGTTTGTACAGGTTTGTCTGGGTTTTTTTTGTTGTTGTTTTTTTTTTTTTGTATGGTCGGTTAGCATTCAATTGGGGATGTGATTAACATTATACTGGCCACCTTTACTTCCTATGTAATTTCTTGGTGCCGATATAGTCTAGCTAGACTTGGGAGCCTAGGCCACTTATGCAAACTCTGCTTACATGTGAGTATTTATAGTTATTTTGGTTGTGTGTCCACAGACCACCTTTGCCATACATCCCTCATGAGCAAGAAGTTAAAGCCATATTGCCAGAGTGAGTATGTCTTCATGGCTTTTGTTGTTGTTTTGTTTTGTGTGTGAGAAAAGTTAGTTGTGTATCCTCTACAGGACATCACAGACCAATTCTAGGCTGTTTATTTGTTTTATGATGCAGTTTTGTTTTTAGTAGTTTATCATTACTTTCTGAAAGTTCTGTGCTCATACCATTATTTAAGTCATCACAAAACGGTGTGCTGCCACATAACCTGCAGCTGAAATTGAACTGGGTATGTTGAAATTATGAAATTGTTTTTATTACCCCCAGACCGCAGACATGTAAGTGCTTGCTTGCTTGTTGAACCCCACCTGGACATCACACAAGCGATAAGCACCCGGTGACACAAAGTGCCACCATGCAGATGAGGATCACAATTGGAGAGGTCCCCCAAAACCCCTTTCAGCCACTATGGCCACAATTGTGGCCTAGCTATATTCAGGGAACCAGGCAAAAGCCCGGGTGGGGCTTCAAATAACAAAAAATTGCATCCTACAAGAGGACGACTGTAATTTTTTATGAAATACATGTAAGTGATAGCCCTGCAGTATTTTAGCTTCATAGCAAATTTCACTAAATACCTGACCTGATTTTTAGACAGAAGTCAAGCAGGGAAAGAGTGTTGTCCAAAATGGGTACCGGAATGCAAAGACCAATTTATTTGTGCAATAGTATTTTTTCGAAATGGCGACCCAGACAAAAAGTAAAACTGGTCAGCTTCCCTGTGAAACACAAAATGTGCATTTTGACTAGAAAGCCTACTGTGAACTCCAGCAGAAAGTTCTGGTTGTTTGTCCACTTCTGGACTTTGCTCTGGTTCCAGAGGAGTTTTATGTGCATTTTTCAGGTCTGGCATTTGTATGTAGATAGCTGGTCCCTCACCTCTCAGGCATATGCCCTCTGACTTCGAAGGAAACACTCCTGATTATTCTACTTTTACAAAAATTGTTGGGGGGGGGGGGGGGGGGGGGGGGGGGGTTGTTCGTTTGCCCCAAAACGGGGTCCAGGAACCCACATAGGGAAATAATTCAAATAATAAATGGCTTTTAACTCTTTGAGTCCCAGAGTGTTTAGCATTACAGGCCTAAGGGGTAGTCAAGAAAGACATAAAATCGGCGCATCTTGCGTTCATTGGGCTTCTAGGTAGGAATTTATGAACCTATGACGCGTTCCTTGGGACTCAGAGAGTTAAGATGAAGTCAATTCCCTGTCCAAAAATAATAAAAGGAAACATCCATTAGAACCATATGTATAAATAAGAAGAGGAAAGAAGAAGAACTTTTAGAGAAAGTTAAAACAGAAAGCAGTTGACACTCAAAATAATTGTACTCCATAATGTTTGCATTTTCAGATCAGCAGTATTTGGCACAAACTTCTCTGCTGAGTCAGACACATATCCATTGTTCTCCAAACTGCTAGCACTGCCTGAGTATGCTTACAGTGTCCTTCTTGGTCTTGTGGTCAGTGTGGGAGGCATCACTGAATCTATTGTGAGTACTGTATCTTGTGGTCAGTGTTGGGGGCATCACTGAATCTATTGTGAGTACTGTATCTTGTGGTCAGTGTTGGGGGCATCACTGAATCTATTGTGAGTACTGTATCTTGTGGTCAGTGTGAGGGGCATTAGTGAATCTATTGAAAGTACTGTATCTTGACAGTGTTGGGGGCATCACTGAATCTATTGTGAGTACTGTATCTTGTCATCAGTGGTGGGGGCATCACTGAATCTATTGTGAGTACTGTATCTAGTGGTTAGTGTTGGGGGCATCACTGAATCTATTATAAGTACTGTATCTTGTCGTCAGTGTTGGGGGCATCACTGAATATATTGTAAGTACTGTATCTTATGGTCAGTGTCGGGATCATCACTGAATCTATTGTGAATACTATATCTTGTGGTCACTGTTGGGGGCATTACTGAATCTTTTTTGAGTACAATATCTTGTGTAGGTTTTGGGAGGAATAATAAGGATTTGAGCACTTAGTGTTTGTTGGGACATAACTGAATATGTTATTATGAGCACTTGTTTGGGAAGGGGAAGTGGTGGATTATTGTTTGTGAAGACACCTTTGTTTGCATTATTTACAGTACTAGCTTATGTTCAATTTAAAGGTTATTGTTCGTGCTGTTTACTCAATATATGAATATGAGGTTGAGCAGTCATGGACAGGATGTGATGATTCCTTGGGTGAGTACAGTACCAGCACCAGAGCTCTGCTTTTATGAAAGCCTCATTGGATGGCGGGGAATGCTATGCTCATACCTCTGTATTCTCTTGGGGGTCAAACAATCTGCATGTAGCTGCCCTGGATGTGTTCTCTTGGGATAACACCTGCAGATTAGGAGATGACAAAGTTACCACACACTTGGGGCTACAAATGTACCCCGATGTCCTGCAGAACTAACCGGGAAGGCTAATCAAGTAACAAATGGCCAAAGATGTTGGATATGTTGGCCAAAATTCATAAATGTCACAGTTAAGCTGTAAACTGGTACTGGTTTCACAGTAATATGTCAGTACCCCTTTTCTCATGTGTAATGAGTTAGGCCTGTTGCATAAACATATTTTTCACCTTTTGAAATGCCACCTTCACCTGACATATCCTTATAATTGTCCCCAGATATTTGAACTTGTTGAACTGCTTTATATTGCTTTCTATTGTAAATACATATTTTTGTGTTTGTTTCTCCTTTGTTATAACCATTCTTTCTGTCTTCTTGATATTCAGTTCCTGTTCTTGCACTTTCTATTACTTCTTCATAAAGTCCATGCTGTGTGGCATTGGTAGTCAAGTCTATCCACAACCTTCTTTCATGTACTTTCAGTCAACTCTGACACAGATGATCTTCAATGCCATGATGTCAAACTGTCCAGAATCTGTTCTCTCGGTCTCCCTCTGCCTCTTTACCACTTCACCTTTCCTACCATCACGACGTACTCCAGTTTTCTCCTTCTCCTCACATGACCAAAGAATGTAGATTGTCTCTTTCTGATGTGGGCAATCAGTTCTCTTCGTGAGTCAGTTCTTTCAAGATGTCTTCATTACTCTTTTTATCTGTCAATGCTTTTCTCATCATTCGTCTATAAAACCACATCTCTGCAGTTTCCAAATAAGTTTTCACTAATATATTAACTGTCCATGATTCACATCCATACATCAATGCAGGATTTATATAACTTTTAAGAATTCTCTTTCTCGTCTCAATTGACAAAAAAAGATTGCATAAAATATTCTTCATTTTGTAAAATGCTGCCTTTGCTTGAGCTATTTATCATTTAACTTCCTTAATACATCTTCACTATGATGTTACAAGGGTACCCAAGTACTTAAACATATCAACTTGCTTGGGGTTTGTCCCATTTACTTTGATGCTGCATTTTGGAGGGTCAGTTTTCTTTGCAATTACCATTATGTCTGTTTTTCTGCTGTTCACACAAGGTCCCTTGTTTTCACTTTCCATTACAATTGTATTCATCATTTCTTGCAGTTGTGTTTCATCAGCATATTGCAGGTTCTTAACAATTTGCCCACTAGCCGATATTTCTTGTGTACCTTGTATAGATCTAATTATTATTTCTGAATAAATCGGGTGATAGTACTCATCCCTGTCTAACGCCTTGTTTAATGTTTTGAAAAGTTCCAAATTGGTTGTCAATCCTTATGGCTGCTTCTTGTTGTCATAATGTTTTTTATTATTCTCAGATCTTTACTATCAGTGTTTAAAGTTTCAAAAATTCTTCATGTTTAACGTTAACAAATGCTTTAATGTAATCAATAAAGCACAAATACAGATCTCTATTCATGTCAATCATTCTTTCTGAAAGTGTTCCCAAGATAAATATGGCATTTCTCTATCACTAAAAAGTTAAAAAGTTGCTGCAAATCTTGTATGTTTTCAGCTATCAGTTCTGTATCATCCGCATAATGTTAACCCACATAAAAAGCTTGGTTTCACTGCTAGGCTTTAAATACCAGCAAGGGATGACATGAGTTAACTTTTTTTTTAAAAATAATTTAAATTTTGCAGGTAAAATTTTCAAGTGCCTCCTTACAAGAGTATCTAAAGACCTTGTTACCTAACCGGCAAGCTCTTTTAGAGTTCTTCGAAGTTCTGTTAACTATTTTTAAAGACTATCAAAGAGATGACAGGTTGGTGTTTTCATATATTATCTCTGTGCTTGGTTACATTATTTGACAGATTTTGCTTACTTAAAATGTAGCTCTGAGGCTTGAAGATTAGTGAATTCATTTCACAGTGCAATACTCGGGGTTCGATTTCCGTGGTGGGCAGTTTAGAACGATCATTCTCGTGGCTTTCAGACAGTGGTATGAGAGTCACACTGTGGAAGAGATTTTGGTCTCACTAGCTAATATTCCCATAGCTAACAGTGGATACATTGCAGCCAACCTTCCTTGTAGATTTTACACAATAAAAAAAGAAAAGAAAAAGGCATAGCTAAAGGAACAAACTGTCAAAATGCTGTTTATAGTTCCGCTTAACAGAAATGAGGTGTTTTCACAGTGAAAGATCAGACTTGTTACTTGTTATCTGCATTGGCATTCTAGCACATATTCAATCCATTCGTGCTTCATCCTCCAATGTCGCAGCCGTGTCAGTGTCTCCACGCTTAACCTACCCAGTAAGGGATGACTGGCATGTTTTTTCTTTGCCCTGCAACTGGTTTCTGCATGCTTGTTCTCGTTTAAAATCCATTTCCAACAGGCGGATCATCATCATCATCTCTGACTCCTTTGTCTCAGTGTCTCTGGAACACAGTGCATACATTATGTCTGCCATGTCCGTACTTCTTCCTCTACTATTTGCTGCAGACACAGCGAGTCTCTTGGCTCTTTCATTTACTTTCAGCCCAGTTTGTCCACATATTTACAGCCTAGACAGTTTCTTGAGGCAGGCTGGACTTCTGGATACTGTCAACCCATTCTAATCAGAGTTTGCCAGTTGGGATCTTCTTAAGCTGCTCCTTGAGTTTGTTACTATCAGTGTGTGAGTTTCTTTCAAAAGGATCAAACTGTTAGAATATCTGTTTCTGTTTATCAGTCAGTGAGGTGTTTTACAGTGAAGGTTGGTTGTAATTGGTCTCTGATACTCTCTGGTCCTCTCCTAGTTGTACATTCTGACAAACTGCTGGTCATCCATCTCTTTATTTTATTGCTCCCTGGGTATCACTGTTTGCAGTGGCAAACTACTGGACGTAAAATTTGCCAAACAAACCACAACAGCCAAAAAAATGCAGGGGTTGGTTCTGCAATATCCTGTAAAGGATACGCAACTAATTAACTATCACTGTTTACATATTGCTTGTTTGCTTTGGCTTTTCTCTTCAGTATGGCTTTTTTTTCTCTTCAAATTAGAGTGTCAGTCTTCTAATGTGCTAGTGTGCACAGATGAGTGGGCTGTGTTAGGATATGTTTAAAACAGTTATTGTTTTTAATTACTATGAAATAATAAATAGTTAATATGTTTTTGACACATATGACCCTGTAAACTGACACGTTTGTTGACATGATGCTGGTTCCAGATTGTGTAACTGTGTGTGTGGGTAGGCCGGCATGAATGGGTGGATTAGTTTTCATTGGGAAAGGGGGAAGGGAGGGGTGACATAGAAATTATCTATTTTACTGTGAATGCCTATTTAGTGATGCTTATGGTCGTCCATGTTTGTCATTAACCCTACCAGACCTAGGGCCCTGAACTTAACTGTCCCTATAACCTGAGCTCCTGGGCATTACCGAGAAAAAACCAACATGATATACAAAAAAATTAGTTACATGCAAACGAGTGGCTAGAATATGATGAAACTTGGAGACATTGTAGAAAATAGGCTTACCTTTTATCTAGGGCCAATATTCCACCTTTGTGTGCGAATTCACTCATCAGGATCAACTTTGTTTCACAAAGTGAACGCCAGATGTTGCCGTTTGATGGACACACCCCCTTCTCCTACTATCGATCTATTTCAAGATTTATAATTTTCAAGATTTTCCTCATCATTTGCGCTCTCACTGACAGTGTCACTTCAAGAACGTATTCTTTATGAAATTATCACAGATAATGAATATATATATATATATATATATATATATATATATATATATATATATATATATATATATATATATATATATATCACAGAGTTTGAATAAACCAAAGTAACGATCACCTGTTGGACTGTGAAAAGCCTAGAACTTGATTCATCAGCCGCTCGTTTCATTGTGAATTTTCAGAATTTTTCCACGTAAAACAACACAAATATAATCCAAACACATGCGGGCAGACATTTGCAATGTCTAACAAAGAGGATTGATAAGGATTGGGTGGTTATTTTTAGTCCCTGACGCATCGTTTTCCCGTACTACGCAAAAAGCCGAAAATTAGGGCAAGCGGTATAGAGACAGGTTAAGAAATTCCCGGTAAACCGGGCCAGCGGTCTGGTAGGGTTAAATATTATAGGGAGTTTTTGTGTGTATTTTTTTGTTTTAAATTTTGAGCTAAGTTTATTTCTTTGACTCTTCTGTGTGCATATAATATATGCTTGATATAATATTTATGTCTGATTCTTGGTCTTTCTGCATATCTATAAACCAGAACCTTCTCACTGTAGGCAGCTCAACAACAGTCAGCAGGTACTTTCCAGAATGACGCTTTCTTCACAAAACGCTTAAAGGCTTCTGTCTCTAGCCAATTCTCCAGCCCTGTGTGCCTTCATAGACAATGTGTTTTTTTCTCCCTGCAGGATTGCATTCGGTAGGATTAGCATGTGAAGGATGAGAATCAAACAGTTACAAATCCCAGAAACCCTGTTCAACCGTATATAACAGTTATACTGGGGGACCACAGAACAGTTACAAAGCAACCTGTAGTCCAGTATGTATGGGGGTTTTTCATAACCAGTGCTTCTCCAGTCTTGGGGGCTAGAAAGGCAGAAGAAAAGAAGAAGCATCTCCAGTCTTGAATCCACCTTTGGGGAGATTGACCTCAGCATCTTTTATTTTCTGGAAACGTCACCATTTATTCTAGGCCACCATGCCATTTAACATGGTCAAAATACATCGTTTTCAGGACAGGATGCTGCTTTATGAGCCAGTTCTCCTCGATGTTCAGCTCATGGAAGATGTCAATGTTTTTCTTTTTTTTTTCAGTATAGCCACAAACAGTAACTTTTAGGCTTCACTCTCACAAGATGTTTGAACCATATTTTTTGTTGTTTCTCTGTAAATTAAATGCAGAACATGATAATCATGATAGTTGCAATGTCATTTCTTCTCTCGTCTGATTATACTGGTCGCAATTTGTCAAGTATTTTAAGATGACCTGTGTTTCATTTCCAGTAGACTCCCCATATGGGGTCCTGGGCCCCATTGTGGAGGGGGGAAAAAGGATTGACCCACTGTCTCCCTAACAAGTGTGTTGTAAAAGTGGACTAATTAAGGGAGTTTCCTTCAAAGTCAGAGTGCATCTGCCTAAGAGGCAGGGATCAAAATGCATACAAATAAACTAGATCTGTAAACTGGATGTGCACACAAAACTCAAGTTCTGGAACAAGACCAAAGTCCAAAGGTGGACAACTAATCAGAAATTTCAGAGTTTACAGCCAGTGAAGGCTAAGAAGAAGATGATTTCCAGCAATGTAAATAGGTTCTTTGTTTACTGTTTACTCTGTTTAGTGGATCAGACTGATAAAACACTTTGTCCAGAGTTAAGTCTGGATTGTAGTATGGATGTTGAAGCATTGTTCACCCCACTCTTGTTGATGCTGCCAGCAGATTACACTTTTTAACGGAATCACCATTTTCAGCTTCCTCATGTCAGTTTGTAATAATTGACCTTGCTATAGGATTGGATTAGTCCCTGAGCCATACTGTTTGTAATTACATCTTGCCACTACTGGGAGCTGAACCTGGCCCACTGTTTGTTGGTCAACAAACCCACTAACTACTACACCACCAAAGCTCCTGTTCAACTATTATTGAAATTTTTGAAAATAATTTCAGAGTCTCATTGCCAATAATGAAAACACTGGACCACATATTGTCATGGGGACTGATAGACTCGCTTGCCTCAGACAGCAAGTAAGCAAAAAGAATGTTATTTAATCTTATAGTTTGATTATCGACAGCATAATGCTAATCTTGCAGTTTGATTATTAAAAAATAATGCTATTTCATATTGTAGTTTGGTTATCCTAAAATACTGCTACTTAGTCTTGTAGTTTGATTATCCTAAGATACTATTGTTTAATCCTGCAGTTTGGTTATCCTAGGATAATACTGTTTAATCCTGTAGTTTGGTTATCCTAATATAATACTGTTTAATCCTGTAGTTTGGGTATCCTATGATAATACTGTTTAATCCTGTAGTTTGGTTATCCTAGGATAATACTGTTTAATCTTGTAGTTTTGTTATCCTAGGACAATACTGTTTAATCCTGTAGTTTTGATATCCTAGGATAATACTGTTTAATCCTGTAGTTTAGTTATCCTAGGATAATACTGTTTAATCCTGTAGTTTTGTTATCCTAGGATAATACTGTTTAATCCTGTAGTATAGTTATCCTAGGATAATACTGTTTAATCCTGTAGTTTAGTAATCCTAGGATAATACTGTTTAATGCTGTAGTTTTGTTATCCTAGGATAATACTGTTTAATCCTGTAGTTTTGTTATCATCAGATGCTACTATTTAGTCCTGTAGTTTGGTTATCCTAAGATACTACTATTTAGTCCTGTAGTTTGGTTATCCTAAGATACTACTATTTAGTCCTGTAGTTTGGTTATCCAAAAATTACTACTATTTAGTCCTGTAGTTTGGTTATCCTCAGATACTAATATTTAGTCTTGTAGTTTGGTTATCCTAAGATAATACTACTTAGTCTTGTAAATTATCCTGAGATAATACTATTTTGTTTATCCTAATATCCTTTTACTTTTTAATCTTGTTGTTTGTTTTTCAGACAGAATCAGTGTTGTAGAATCTCAGCATAATGATAAATCTTGCAGTTTGGTTATCCCAACATAATGTCAGATCTGTGTTTTGTTTTCCCAGCATTACAAAGTGTTTATATTGACCACATGTCTATCTTAGTGGTGTGAGATTTCAGCACAGACATTCCAAAAGGCAGCTTAAGTATTTCTGGTTTACTTCATAATAAACATCAACAACAAAAACAACAAAAATAATAATGGCCGTGGACTGGCATTTAAGAAATTTGCTTATAGACAGCATATTTTTAGAAACTAAAATGTGTTGACCACATTTAATATAACAGGGGCTTAGAAAGCGACAGTAGTGGAGTGTGTAACAGCCCTATGTTAACTTTTTAACAGTTCCGATTTGCTTCAAACTGAACTTTATAGCTAGACAACAAATCAAATTGTTTGGCCATGTAACAAGATTGGCATCAGACAAAGCAGAAATATCAGAGACACCGAAAAGTACTTTATACGAAGCGAAGGGTCTATTCCAGAGATCTCTTCCTAATCTGAGGCTGTGAGGCATTCCAGGAGTAGGGAAAAGAAGAATTACTTTTGTACATATAAGATGAACTAGTCACAGGACCTTTATCACTAGCTGTGAAAATTATTAACACAATCCATTTTCTAATTTTTCAGTGACTCTGTGCCTGACCGGATTGTAGATATGGTTCGAGCAGAATTGCATAAATGTGGGAAACCACAGAAAATTATGGCTGGAGCAGATGTGTAAGTCAATTCTAGTTATGTTAAAGCTCTTATGAAAACAAGACTAAAAAATTGAAATCAGTGAACAATCCTAGAGTAGTTTTTAAAAAAAAAGTTGTCTTTACTGGTCGTTTTCTTCTTGCTCCTGACTGTGTGCCTTGCTTTACTTTACTCATTATATACCATTAGGGGTGTCGTGAGCAACGTTTAAAGCTCACGTCACCCCTTAGAGATCTACATACTCTCCTCTCCTCGATGTTACGTTTGTGTAATTCACTTATGTTTGAAAAAAGGCTGCCCGGCCGAAACGTTACGTTGTGTTGTTTTGTTCACGTTTTTCTGCTTCCCCATTTTGTTGAGCTTTTTAGTCAAATTTTTCTGGAATTCCTTTACGGGAAAGTGCCTGTTTGTGTGCTTTGAAAATTGGAGTTCCTAGGGATTCTGTAATTCCCTCTGTCCCTCACTTGCATGGTCGGCAAAACAAAGAGCATGGTATCATGGATAAAGTTTTGCTCTGCAAGGGGCAAATAGTACCAGATTTGTACAAAAGTACTAACTTTGCCAGCCCTGAAGCGGAACCCCTGAGGCAGTAGAAACAGTATATATAATAAACAAATAGACATGTATGGATCGGTACTCGTAGAAAGAAAGAAAGACACACTAGACAACATGAAAAATGAAAGCTATAGTTTACCATGCCGGGAATTGAACCTGTCACCTCCAAATGATAAAAAGTGCCTTCCATTCTGATAAAACAAAGCCTTGATTTTTTCCTAGGATGTTGTCACTGATCTTGATGCTGCAAGTTAAAGCAGTGTCTTACCTTAATGCTTTTTATACCAAGATACTTTTTGGGTATATAGTAAGTAAAGGACCCTTCTCCTGCCATTGATGCATCAGGTATTTGGTGCCTGCTCCATATTATTATAGACACTTTTGCTCTGGATCAACGGTGGTGGTCCTACATTTTTAGACTGGTTGACACTTGATGGGTGTTAGCATCTCAACAGCCACCTTTGCTTTCTGGAAAAATGTCCTAACAACCATTTTAGGCAGGATTAACCTAGAGGCCCACGTTAGTCAATAAAACCTAGCATGGCAAGGAATTTAAGCAAATGACAACTGGGTCAGCATGCTACCATGATTCATGTTGTCTTTAAAATATAAACGTCATGCACCCATTTCCTTGCCTTGAGGGGTGTTGTGCATATGGTGCTAGTCTGTGAATAAATGTTAACAATAACTGTAGTGAAGCTTTGGTAGCACAGTGGCTGGACATTTCCCTCATCAGGGCAGATATTTTTTCCAAATTGGCTTCCATGTTGACCGAACCTAAAATGGGTGTCAGCTAGTGTCCTGGGAAGTAAAGATGGCTGGCATGATGTTGACCAGTCACCGATTGAGTGCCGATTGGTTTATAAAATAAATATAGGAATAGCACTATATGTTCAATGTGCCCAAGTTGAGAAAGGGGTTCTTTACTTTTTACTGACTGCATAATGACATTTGTTTGACATGTATGGTATGTCTTCAGGTATTGTGGCATGCTGCAGTTTGAGGGCAGCCCTAGAACAAGATCTCTGACTCAGCTCATGGTATTGCTGTGTCACAGATATCCCAGGGTAAGAATGGATCAGAGAAAAAAATTGACTTGTGCAATTATATGGTGTGTCTGTGGCTTAGGCATTGCAAACGCGCTTTATAATGCTGGGGTGCCGGGTTCTATTCCAGCTGCGGGCCTTGCATCTTGCGTTGGTTTCGACAGTGGTATCGAGAAGCCGGGCGTCCAGAAAGCAGTGGCAAACTACTGGACGTAAACTTGCTTAGAAAAACCACAACAGCCCCAAAAAATGCTGGGGTTGGTTCTGCAACGTCCTGTTAAGGATATGCAACTAAGTAATAATAAAAATAAAAAATTGTTTGTCAAAATGAATGAGAATCCCACTGCAGATACTACCATAAGAGTCTACAGTTTTATGTCTTTATAGCAAGTTAGAATGTAATAGGAAGCCATCGCATATTGATTGTGGTCGAAGAACTTAAAGAGAAACAAAAACTTCCTAGTAGTCTTTGGTCTTAACAATCAGTTATGGCAACAGCAAAAAAAGAGCTAGGGCCCTTTTGTGTTAGTGTGGTTTAGTGGAAGGAACAGGAATAGAAGGAAGACACTTGTTTCATCTATTTCTATGGATGAATGGCAGAGTTTTATTTTGTTCTTCCTCTTGAAGCCCATGCCTTGTGATGTTGGTCAGCATGTCTGTCCACATCCTTCTGTCACATGTGCTGTTGATCTTTTTTTTTTTTTGAAACGCGTGTCTTTCTATGTCAAGATGCCAGCTAACTTGATTATACTTGCCATGTTTCCTCAAATATAAGACCTTACCCCAAAATAAGCCAGAAAATGATTTATTCAGGGTGCTCATAATGTAAGCCTTATCACAAATATAAGCTGCAGTTGAGATTGACAGTCAGAGTGATGGATTTCTTTTGTCTGTTGAAACATGTGATGGACGTAATGAAATATGAAGATGTTGACTGTATTAGTGTAGATTTTTGTACTTGAATAATATATATATATTAATTTTTTTTTTTTTTAAACTGGAATAAATGTTAGATTTTTTTAAACTTGAAAACATAAGATATCTCCTGAAAATAAGCCCTGAGGCATCTTTGTGACAACCATTATTGTGCCATATTTCTGAGAAATATGGTAGTATCTCTTCTTTTAACAACAAAGGATGTGTGTCAGAAATAAACCATGCATACATATATAACCCGTACCTCTTTCTGTCCAGGTCTGTGTTTTTTCAACTCATCTTTTTCTAAGTAGTTGTTGATATTAATAAGAGACAAAGTCCGCACAGAACCAGTTCTACATTACATTCATAGAGCAAATCAAATGGTTTGTTACTTTGAGAGAATGCCTTGTGATCCTGTACCATACAAGGCATATACCAAAAGAGGAGAAGGACTTGGAGCTCAAGGTAAACCAAGAACAATATAGAGAGATAACATAAGAGAAACTCTATAACTGCACAGTGTGTTTATGGTTGAGGTGACCAGAAGAGCACGAAGCAGGACTATATATTTCCCTTGACATCCTAAGTGGTAAAAAAAGGAAGTGAAGAAGGAGAAGAAAAGATATTAATGAGTGATTGGGTGTGAGGGAGTTCAAATAATAACACTATGGGATAACATGAACACTATGGGACAAAGCAGTGTAACAAAATCTTTCCAAAGGGATACTGAAGGCATCTGTAGAGGAGAAGAGGCAGACCAAGAAAGACCTGGATACAGAAGAGACAGGCCTCAAACTTGCAGATATCAAATCCATTGCATCTTACTGACCGAGGTGGAGGGAGCGGATCAAATGGTCAACAGCAACTGACGACCCAAGGATACACAGTGTTATGGAACTATGATGATGATTATGATGGGACAGAGGAGACTTTAGTAGCAGTTGGGATAGAATGGATAAAAACTGCAGCTGGATGAAGTACAAGGAGCTCAGTAAAGTATACCATGCTAAGCAGCTTGAATCACTAGTCAGTCATTAGTCGAGATTCCACTATCACTGTAGACAGGTTGACCTTAAACTGCTCCATTCTTGTGCTGGTGGAAATCACACAAAGTGTCCTTCACGGTCCTTTTTGAAAACTAATGAAAACTTGTCAGTCTCAGCAAAATCCTGAAGCTAGCACACACAAAATAAAACTGCATAAGACAGCTGTCGGACATGCCAACACTAATGGTCCCAACTGTTATACATTCGTAGTGAATTGCTCGGTACTGAAAGAATTAAATTGTATTGCATCCGTGGCCTAATCTAATGGTTAAGGCATTGGTCTCCCAAGTCAATAATTGCAGGTTCGAGTCCCGTCAGAGAATTTAAATTTTTTTTACAGAGTTTGTGTTTTGTGCAGTGCTTTCGGCAGGTGGCTGGCTGTTCTGCAGTGAGATCAAGCTACATAGAATAACCCATGCAATGACTTTAGTCCTCTCGACTTTAACTTCTTAACTTTAGAGTTGTCTTCCATATTTGTGACCATATATGCAGATATTCCGTATCTGCAGGTGAGAAAAACAACTGCTGACAAACTGTACGAAGCATTGCTGACGTATGACGATGCTGTGCCTGAAGAAAACTCTGCAGAAGTCATGGCCATTTTGAGTGATACTATTTGGCAAGTATCACTTCTGCTCAGTTCCTTGTACCCTACAGTGTAGCTGATAAGAATGAAACTAACATATCCTTATTTATAATTACACTGTTGATCCTCAAATCCTTGAATATTTTTTCTTTCGTCTCCTTCTATACCTCCTTCTAAATTTCTTCTTCACCTTCCCCACCTATACCTTGTTTACCTCCTCATCTTTCTTCTTCTTTCTCTGCTTCTTCCACTTCCTATGCTTTTCTTCTTCTTCTCTTCCTTCTCCCATTTCTTCTTCTTCTTATTTTTCTTGTTCTCCTTCCCCTCCTTCTCTTTAGCCTCTACTTCTCCTCTTCCTTCCTTCATCTCATAGTGGAGTATAGGCCGTAAACAATCTAAATGTTATAAAGAGGCTGTCATAAACACCGAAAAGAGGCAGTCATCATATTTTGGTCACATGAGAAGAGGAGGGCTGAAAACAGTGAGACCTGGAAAAAAAACTATGGAAAATAAATGAAGGAACAAATTTTGTTTGGAAGATTAAGGATTGGGCACACATGTAATTAACTGATTATCGTGCCAGAAAGAACATTGGTCACCTTGTCTCTGAAAACTGAGTCATAAAATATATTACTCCATATTACTCTGCTACAGTAGTGTAGTTTTGGGTGTGTTATTAGCAGCACACTATTTTAAAGAGTCAGTAGGTATGTATACACGCTGTGACAACTTGAAAAGGTTATGAAAAATGAATAAATGAACAAACTTATATTTCGAAAGGGTAAAGAATTGGGAACACAGGCTAATAACTGATGCAGTGCAGGATAATGAAAATGATGGTGAAGATGATGACAGAAGAAGAATGTGTCACTTTGTCACCAGGAAGTGAGACATGGTTTGTTTCTTGCATCTTAGGCCATTTTCACACACGCCGACAAAACCAAAGCCAGTAACAGAGGCTCCGCTGAATGCAATTCTATCACATGGCAGCTTTTACAAAGAGCCCCGGCCTGCAGACTGGTCGCTCCGGCAGCTGAAACCACCAGATGCTACAGGTGTTGAACTCCCTAAATCGGATGCTGGGCTGAGACCTGACTGGGATTTGAAAGCGCACTTGTCCGCCCAGGTCTAGACTTATTGGCACCAGAGAATTGTTGCTTTATTTACGTTATGGCAGGATTGTTGTAGTTTTCTTCATGATCAGAACAATTTTCTTTTATTGCAGAAATGAGTAATTGTTCACATACAATGTTGTTACATTAATAGAAGTAGTGGCAAGTAAACCGTGTTTTGGGATAAAACAGTTATATGTATGTATGTCAGTTGTACCCCACCAGGACATTACACAAGTGATAAACACCCGGTGACACAAAGTGTCACCATGCAGATGAGGATCACCCGTGAAGAGGTCCAGGAAATCCTGTTTAGCTGTTAGGCCATATTTTTGCACCTGGCTGTATTTATGGCCCCAAGCAAAAGCCAGGATGGGGCTTCAAATAACGAACAATTGCATCCCACATGGGAACAACTAGGTTAATGATCCATAAAACAGTTGATTGTTTTAAAGATAAAATCTGAACACAAAGAGTGCAAACAGAAGTTTATGCAATTTAGAATATTTTACAGTAAAAGGCATGTGCACGTGCGCACACATACACACACACACACAAAGGTAATATAAATCTGCTCTAAATTTATCAGAAAGCATATAGTAACACCCTTCCAAGTATTTCACAGACAACTGAGGGTGTACCCAGTGCTGAGGTGTGGTCCCACAGCGAAAACATTGGGGGTATAATTATTTAGGCTCGAGGAAGTGGCTCAATTCCTGTTTAATAAATATTAAATAGTAGATATTGTTATGATTATTACTGTTATTATTTTTTGCACAAATAAGCAAGGTGTAAACCCTTTGAGACACCCCCACCTGTGCCCCTAGAACAAAAAGATAATATACTGGAACTAATATAAAATGCATAAACAAATGATTAAAAAGAAAACAATTATATTTATTGGTTGGAGGGGGGTGTTTGCTGCCTAAAAAATTCCTGGGACGGAGGCCTTAGCACCCACCCCAGTTTGTTTTTTGGAGAGGGGGCCTCATTGTGCTTATGTCCCAGGTTTCAGTTTAGTTATTCTAATTTCAGTTTAGGGAATTCCAAGTATTTTCTTGTATTTATTTGTTATTCAATACATTATTATTATACCTACCACCTTCCCCACCCCACCCTAGCCCCTCCCCCTCCCCTTCCCCTACAAGCACACAGCAAACTGTCACTGATTGGGAATGTTTCCTTAGTGCATCTGCATGAGCTGTGGATGTGCATGCAAAACTGAAATTCTGGACCTAGACCAAAGTCTAGAAGTGGACAAACAACCAGAACTTTCTGCTGGAGTTGACAGCTGGCAAATGTTAAGAAGAAGATCAGAAGGTGCGCGCGTGCGTGCGCGTGTGTGTGTGCGCGTGTGTGCATGCGTGCGTGCGCGCGCGCGCTTGCTTGCTTGCTTTCAGGTTAAAGTTATGGTGTGTTTCTTTCATGGTTTTTTTTTTTTTTAACAGGGACACACAGGAACTGGCAGAGATACGAGAGAAGAGGAATACTCTGTGTGATTTACTTGGAATTAAAAGGCCTACTGTAATCAAGGTAATGACTCTTATCTTCTGTATGTTAGTATGCTACACAACTTATTCTTTCTTCTCCTCCTCCTTCTCCTCCCTCCTCTGTTTTTTTTTTTTTTAATTTTATTATCATTATTCTTTTCTTTTCTGCTTCCTTAAATTATCCACAAGTTGGGGGGGGGGGGGGGGGGGGGGGGGGGCGATATCAAAAACTTCTGATTTCTTTATTAAGCTGCCTTTATGCTGCCAACTGTTTGCCTTGAAAACTCATATGGCTTTCCGAGATATTTTCAGTGTTTTGCATCCACGTTGTATTCAAGTAGAGGTGTTGATTGGTCTATACAAAATATTGAACTAGAACCATGTATTCTGTGCCCCTCAAGGTGTGGGAACAGGGCCCTTTACTTTTGCTTTATCAATGTGGTTACAGGTGAATTTTTTCAGTAACAGGGGACTCAAAGTGTGTTCATTGGTTTGTGTTTATATGGTACATATTTCTTTACTCTTTATGCCCCATTCATCTGTTGTGTTAATAGTAGTAGTACATTTTACCCCACTGGGACATCACAAAAGCGATGAACACCCACTGACACAAAGTGCCACCGTGTGGATGAGGATCACCCATTGAGTGGTCCCAGAAACCTTGTTCAGCCATTGGACCCTATTTCGGCCCCTGGCAAGAGCCAGGGTGGGGCTTCAAAATAACGGAAAATTGCATCCCACAAGGAGATGACTGGTTGGGAATCAATCAATATAGTTTTAACAAACTCAAACTCAATTATGACTATAACTTCTGCTCCAAAGCAGTACTTTTCAATAAGATATGAATAAACATTTTTTTGCTCTAAGGTATACAAACTTTAGGATAGAAGGTGTTCAATTAAGAACTACTTGGGAATGACAGAATTAACTCTTTTATATGAGATCCTAATGAAGGCAAAAACAGCAAGATAAATTATCAAAACTTTTTTTTTTTCAACAACACTATTATTACTGCCCTTTTTTAACCGCTTATATTAAAGTGGTATAGAGCAGAGGAAGAGAAAATGCGGTCTGAAAACCCAATTTTTTTAGCCTTGGTTGGCAGTGACTAGTCTTGGAGAGAAGCTTTGACAGGTGGGCAGACAGAGCACTGCTCGTCTGATCCAACAGCTTCTGCGGCATGCTTTTATTCCAAACATTTTGGTGTTACGTTTCCTTTGTAGTAAACAAGACAGGCAGAGAGAGAGAACGTGCTGCATGGACAATCCATTTTCTTTTCAGTAGCATCCACGATTCATGCTATGGAGAGGAGGAACTTTATCCCTGGCCTTCGTTGGATGTGATTCCAATGCCTCACTATAACACAGACAAAAATCACCACACTACAGACTAGCGATAAAGTTTCTCCTCTCCATAGCTCAAAGCCTGGCAGTATTACAGAGACCATGTGTTGCCCATGCAGCACAGTTCTCCATTAACCTGCCTTGTTTATTCCAAAGGTAAGGTTACACCAGTTTGTTTAGGACAAAGCATGCTGTAGAACAGCGGCTCCCAACCTGTGGGTTGCGACCCTTTTGTGGGGCAAATGACCCTTTCACGTGGGTTGCAAAGACCATCAGAAAATTAATATTCACTGAAGTTATGAAGTAGCGACGAAAATAACTATATGTTTGGCGGTTACTACAACATGAGGAACTGTATTAAATGGTCGCCGTCTTAGGAAGGCTAAAAACCACTGCTGTAGAAGCTGCTGGATCAGAAGAGCAGTGCACTGTCAGAGAGTGTGAGTCAGCATTTGAACTGATTTAACTACTATAAAAATTTATTCCTTTTTATTTCAGAAGTCATAACACTCATCCTGATGTCACAAGCCCAGTTGTGAAGATATTCAGCATGTTCTAGTTCATTCTAAATATTATGTCACCGATTGGGCACAGTCACAGCAGACCATGCTGATCATCATGCTGTACTGGCATGTAAGGGATGCATACAAATCAGTAACATACATATTAAAAGTGTAAATATATTCTTTGTATTTCTAAATTGTGTTTTGCAACTTAAGTGCTTCTAGTGTGGACATGCCGTAATTTTAATCTTCACATACTTTATCTTAGAGGCTTGATTGGGCTCACTCAGACAGAATTGAAACTGCAGAATTTTGTTTTCACTTTCAGCACATATTAATCGACAGTTGCTCTCTGTCCTAACAGACTTTTCATGTTTTCCCAAGTTTTCTGAAATTGCTTGAAATCTGCCTGATGTTTAGTTCAAAGCTTTCCCATTGTATTCTGGGACATTGTCATAGTCTTGTGCTGTTCATTGTTACATTAAAAAAAATAATGTTTCCCTGACTCTCTCAGAATGCTTTTTTCCCCATAAAGTTTTAAGTATTAAATCTGCTGAAAAAAATTTCACAAGTATCTGTATAATTGTTTGAGTTTTCTATTTGTTTCTGTACTCTTGTCATTGATGTTGTCATCTTTGACAGGGCTGAACAACTGAAAGATTATCTTGCCCCTAAAATATGCAATTTATTGCACAAGTTGTGTATGTGTAAGAAGATGTGTAAGATATATTCACATACAGATAGAACACAGTGAAAGAGATGAAAGGAAGGAGGAGGAGAAGAAGAAAAAGAGTTAATCAAAAGATCTGTTAAATTCATAAACTGTTAACCAGTTTGTTTAGCATGAAGTTATTGTCTTACAGAATAAAAGTTTCAGAAACATCAAGGCTTTTGTTTAAATTCTTCACCCGTCTTCTGCAACAAGATAGTCTAATGCTACTACAGTGCATCAGGCATACTTACATGTTTTAACTTATACTGTACTAGATCTGCATTTACATTTTTCTAGACTGCCAAGTTAACTATCATGCTACAGTAGAACCTCATTAACACAAAGTCGCTTAAATGAACATTTGGTTAAAATTAGGTCCCTGCAGGAATGTATTAACCCCTGGCTATCACATAATTTTTTTGTTAGCCTGAACTCATGTTGCCTTGGAATTCATGTCAACAAGGTTTTATTGTCTACAATGAATTCTGCTGGTTCTACATGTCAGACTGTATCACTGTTCAAGTGCCTTGCCAACTGGCATGGCTAATCATGCTTCTCCCTGTCGTGTAATCTCCACATTATGTATCAGTTTGTTTACTGAGACCTTTCTGTGCCATAACAAAAGGCTGCCCAGGGTCTTGTCTCTTTGTTTTGATGTTTTTACACACACAGGATTGAAAGTTACACCAGGCTGGTGTTGATGTTAATGGCGCCCCAGTTATAGATTCTTTGGAAGTTGAATGGAGTATCTGGGATTTATCCTGTTGGTGTGCCATTCATATTGACATGTTATTATCTCAGGGTGTCAGAAGTAGGGAGTACATCATGACAGTGGGAAAAGAGGCAAAAGGAGACCCAAGAGTGAAGATACTAGACAGTTTAAAATCATGGCACATAAGATCATCTTTGCCAGAATTGACTAAATGCACACCAGATAAAAGGATGTGGATAGACATGAATAACAATGCCACATGGACTATAAAAAGAAAGGTGTCAGTCCTTCAGGTAGCCCTCCCGGAGATGTAATACAACATGCATCTCCCCCCCCCCCCCCCCCCCAATTGCTTTTTTTGGGGGTCTTCCTCTATTCTTTCCTTGAATACATTTTTCAAGTTGTCGCAACATGCTCCATTTTTTTCTTCTGATAACATGGCCAAAAAACTATGAGTGACTTTTCTACTTATCATGATAATTTTTATTTGTGCCCTAATAACCTGTTTAAACACAGATTGCTTTTTTTGGTTGTCCAAGGAGTTTTTAGTTTATCATTCTTCTTTAGAGCCGGTTTTTTTTGGGTTTTGTTTCCTGATTACTAATTTTCCAAGAATCACAGCAATATGTTGAAACTGGCTCTTTGTAACATGCAAGAACTCTTTTTCTTACCACAGCATTATGTCATTAACAGCAATAACTGTCCAAGTTCTCCAAGGAGAAAACAGTAACTTTGTATAATTAACAATAACCGTGAGAAGTAAATAAAACAATAGGCTATCCTCCGAATAACGATCCAAAGTTATCACAACTGGAAATATACCGTAACAGCGCCTCAATCACATGTAAATTCCGGACTGCTTTCCGGCGAATATACCGCCACCGCTAAAAGTACCACCCCCCCTGCGCATCGCGCAGCGCAGAGGGGAGCTAAACTAGATGGCTGGGACTCATGAGCAGATAAAATGGAGGAAGCTGCAGGAGATGCAGTAGCTGCTGCTCGTGAGTCCCAGCCATCAAGTTGGGCCCCCCTCCGCGCTGTGCATAGTAGCGCAGGGGAAATTCTCGGCGGAAGCTTTTATGCGGTATAGTCGCCGGAAAGAGGTCTCCAATTTACATATGACTGAGGCCCTGTTAGGGTATTTTCTTAGCCTCGATAGTCTGAGTCCGTTATTCAGAGGATAGCCAAACAATAACTTTATTTTATTAGGGATTTACTGTATGCATATAGAGAGGATCATGTTACCACAATCAAGAGCCATTAGTGAGGTTGGGTGACATGGGGTTCTGCTCAGCCAGCAACTGATTTAGCTTGTCAGTAAACATACGGTAGAAGCCTACCTCATTTGTGATCAGCTGTTTGTTGTGTTCTTTATTTATGAAATCACTTGTTCAGATTATGTCCTATGGGTTAAATATCCATGTTTAATGGCATAGAATCAAAGTTAAATGCATTCAAAAATAAATGCCTGAGAAAATTGATGAAAATTAGATTGGATGAATTCAAGAAAGACAAGGAAATAAGAGAAATGTCCGAAGAACATTGTATTGAAAGTTATAAGACAAACAATATAGCAGAATATGGCACATCCTGAGGACCTTACATGTTATTGAAAATATCTCACAAGATGGAACTGAGTAGAGGAACAGACTGTAAGCAACAGGAGAATGATTTGCCATACGATGGGCAGGAGCATGGTCTGTCGAGGTTGCCCTCTCTCATGTTTTCTAGTTTCAGATCAAGTCCATGTTTGTTTTGTTTTAATTATTAATTTATTTATTTATCCCTCGTCATTTCTACTTGTCTCCATATAAGATGTGTCAGGTGTCAAGAAGTTTTAAACTCTGTGACACCTTATCACTCTCGCCAACGATTCCTTTTTTTTTTGTTTTTTTTAAATATCCAGAAACCATGAGTTGTTAACCCTTCTGGCTCAGTTCTATGAATATTGCAACCCTTCGGCCTTGATTCCATGATAGATACCAGAAATCTGGGATAAATATGGCTTTTCTGCCAACCCCTGGTCGTGAAGTTGGACCACAAGGAGTTCGCCACCCTGTCGCAGCGAAGTCAGGTATAACCAACTACGCTAGGGAATCAGGCAAACAACGATTCCTCAAACAACAGTGCCATCAATACAATAGATTTAGAGATAAATGCATGAGAGTTTAGTTAATTTTAGTTGAGAATTGACATCAACACACTGGGGACAATCCCATAATTGCTGCCTCTCCATCTTCAGCTGCCAACAAAGAGTTCCTTTGTTAATGATACCAGTATCAGTTTGATTACATGTTTGCCTTGCCTTTCTGCTACATGTAGATTGTCAATCAGATCCCCTGGTCACTCTCTGCTGCACAAGTCTCTCCAGACTGTAAGGGTCTGTTAATGCTTCCTTATTGTTCACTTGCTCCTAAAGGGCCTTGACCACATCTACTTTGTCGTGCTTGTTCATCATCCATTGATGCATTACCAGCAAATGCATGAGGACGGTCTGTTGAGAAGGAGACAAACATTTATAACTGACTGGAAAAATGTGGTCTGTTGTTTCTGAGGCTCAACTGAGAAACAAGGAACTGTAACCTGCATTGTATGCCATAGAGGGAACCCTAGAAGATTGATGTGAGACCAGCTGCTTCAGTCCATTGAGAAGTTAAGCTGCAGATTCAACCAGTTCACAAAGGACTTGGTAGGAGCCTATGTTCAGACTAACATTAGAGTTGACTTTTCTTTTTTGACTTCCACAATAAGAAGGTTGAACTGAGGCCATGGAGGTATTGATATTCAGAAGAATATATTGTATTTCATTGAAGAAAAAAACAATCCAAGTTTTCTGCAGAGATAAGCAAGACACCTTTTTAAAAAAAAAACGTGAATGAGAGTTAGAGAAATGAAATAATGACAGCAGTGAAAAGACTGCAGGAAATGGTCAAGATAAGAGAAGTTAGTTGAGGATCTATACTGCATTGGGTTATAAAGGGCAGCAAAAGACCATGTTAGACCACAGTTATCAATCCCTATGTGAAGAACCATGTACTTAGCATTCAAAAACATTTAGCTGTAAGCACTTATGTTTACATTGTCTTTGTTAGATGACATAAGTGTGCATAGACTTGCCATTTCCTCGAATGATTTGTATCATATTTACCACTTATTGTCTCATGCAATAAATGTTTTTTTCAGTCAGATGTTTTTTTGTGTGTAATTGATTACATTTCATCATCACCATTATGTGTATCACTGAAGTAATCTACCCCAGGACTGGAGTTAAAGTCATGTTACTCAGCTGTCACCTGTCTGTTGTCAGCTAATCTTTGTGTCATCTGTATGTTTTCCTCTTAATTTTAATTTCAAGAATTTTCAGAGATAATTTCCACATCACATATTGAGTACAATCTTAGAAAATTAGACAGATTATCCTCACTGCAAATCAGACAGGTTCCTAAGTGTTCGGATCCCTTCTTTAGTATATCATTCAACAACTGATAACACCATTTCTGTGTTAGTTTACTATTCTTCTTTGGCTACATGTATTGTGTTCATGTTTGGTGACAACTCTTTTGACCTGAAGTTCTTGTAG